AACCGGGACTAACCGACCCACGTCTCACACAGAGTGCAGCATCATCACATACAGTGTAGGATTTGGGGTCTTGACAAGCAGTTTCGGGGTGGCGGCGCCCACGTTACAAGGGGGATACCTGTGGAATAAATTACCATCGGCCGATGGAAAAAGCACTGGTCGCTAGGGAGGACACTCTGATTCGTGCACTCAACTACGCGAAAGTAGAATCAGCCAGTCATATTGCCCCTCTCCTGTTACGAGGAGGTCGTCTATCAAAGTCTTCGCCTGTTCAGAGTGGTTTGTACCCATGGCTCGGCGAGGTTAGTCCCGAATGCGGTCAAGATGAAGCGCCACCGGGTTTCGTTGAGAAGGGTCGTGCTCGTTGTAAAATCAGATCTTCCCTCTTGAACATCACATCTTGAACTCGTGGGGGATCGGCACCGGCACATAAGATGATAAAAGTATCGGTGTGTAATAAGTCAGGTCATTGCGGAGGATGGACAGAGAAAGAACCAGAAATGGCGATTGGACGAGCAGGATTCATCGACAGAGAAAGGCGATGACGTCGTCCTGAGCACGTGGAGTCCATCGCATGCGGTTTTTATGGCCAAATGGCCATTTTGATACGGTTCCAATTGGCTCTCACTCCGGTATTCTTGAGGCTGTGCACAAAGAGGGTATTATCCATATGGAGTATCCCCGCGCAAGATTCTAGCTCTGGGAAGTTCCCATCCACCACTGTATTATCTATCCCGACCTTTGACAGAGGATAGGGAAAATGAATGGGAAACTTCACGGACCGTATGGACGGACCGGCCTCCCAAAGCGGCCCGAGACGAGTAGCCAGTCAAGGGTTGAAGATGACGCCTCTGAGCGATCGCTGCCAGGGTGTGGCTGCGCTATACCGTGTTCGGCAGCTCGTCGTGTTCAGGGGCGTCTTGTTTCTTTGCCCTCGGTATTTTTTCATCCTCATCCTCATTTTCATTTTCATTTTACGACTTTATCAGTTCTCATTCGTTTTATTCAAGTTTTTTTTTTCAAGTCTGCCTGATATTGTCAAGGCTCCGAGATTAACCGTACTCTCTATTTTGTACACTGTACCCCATGTAATACCAATACACACCAACCCCAGACGGGATGGCCGCACCCGAATGCACTTTGTATTTCGCACTAAGCCTCTTTGGGGACTAGTCTCCTGAGGGTCTTCCCCGTCCTTGTCGCAATTTGGAAATCCGGACATCCCGTAATTTAATACCATCGTTACTTCTTTGCGGAGGAAAAAAAAGGTGAAAAAAAAGTAGAAGAAGGGAAAGCGCGATTCTGGATTTCCGTGGTTTCTATTTTCTATATTAGAGCTCTCCCATCGGTTTCTTTTTTCCTTTTCTTCTTCTCCTCAACTTTCCAAACTCCCTTCTTCCCCCCACCTTTCAACTACACTCTCTGGGTTCGAGGTAGAGCTATCTTCAGCTTTCCTTGTATTTCCTCCTGAGTATCATCCTACCTTACCTACACCTCTTTATATTTCACTTTCCGAGAAAAAAAAAAGACAAGAAAAGACAGAATTGTTCTGCTCCTTCGACTATACCATACCATTCAACCCACTCCACGCCTCGACTCTCATATACTAGCAAGTCCCCGTGCGCGCCTGCCAGCAATTACAGCCTCCGTACCTCGACCGATCTTCCAGAGAATTCCCTGTGCGAACTTGACCACCATTGATGAGACCCCCGATAGTCTTTCAATCTCGATTGCGCCAATTGTAGTCTTACCCTAGACCAACGACTCACGAACCCTTCACATCAACTTTCGCAATAGCACCAACTGTTCCATTTCCAAAGCGACTTGTCCGTAAACCGTCACTATGGGAGTCGAGAAATTTAACCCCTTCAAAAGGGATCGACAGAACTTCCCGGGCGTGGTCATCCCGCTGGCTGATGCTCCGGCACGCCCAAAGCCCGTACTGACCGACGATGAGAAAAAGGCCGAGAATGCAAATAAGTCTCTGGAGTGGGCTTCTTCATCCGAAAATGGCTCCTCAGGTGGTTCTGTAAACGAACCTTCTCATCGGACCATCGAGTCTTTACGTGCGGAGGTCGAGTCTGACATCGCCGCATCGGCACATGACTCTGTATATGACCGTATGTCGAAATCCCATCCGTGATTACAAGCCCCAGAAGCGCCCGTCACTGTGATATGGTGAAGTGGGTCTTTTTTATTCAAGATCTAACCGGTTCGATCATCTAGGAAAGGCGAAGGTTATCAACAGTGCCCTCATGGATATCGGCATGGGTCGTTACCAGTGGCAATTGTTCTTCCTTTGCGGCTTTGGTTGGCTTGCAGACAAGTAAGTGCCTTTTGTCCTAAACCCCGTTCTTATTTTTATCGAATAATTGGCTGACCTGTTTTTCTAGCCTCTGGCTCCAGGTAAGAAGACAAAACATGACAAAATTCGGTTATATTGCATTCATCAAAGCTAACTCTACTAGGGTGTTGCTCTTACTCTGACCCCCATCTCTTATGAATTTGGAATCTCGGAATCCGAGGTTCGCTTCACCACCTGTGCTCTTTTTTTGGGCCTCTGTGTCGGTGCCTCAAGTTGGGGTATTGCTTCTGATATTCTTGGTCGTCGAGTCGCCTTCAACACCACTCTGTTTTTGGCTGGTGCCTTCGGCTTGGCCGCTGGTGGTGCTCCTAACTGGATTGGGTATGTTCTCTTTGACAAAACTGATTATTGTCCTTTTTCGTGGCTAACAATTCATTAGTGTTTCCGCCCTGTACGCTTGCCTGGGTCTCGGTGTCGGTGGCAACTTGCCCGTCGATGGCGCTCTTTTCCTGGAGTTCCTGCCCATGGCCTCTGGAAATCTGCTGACCATGCTGAGTGTGTGGTGGCCCATTGGCCAGCTAATTTCTAGTCTGCTTGCTTGGGCTTTCATCCCCACTTTTAGCTGCGAGAGCGCAGAGAACTGCACCAAAGAGCAGAACATGGGATGGCGTTATCTGGTCTTGACTCTGGGTGCTCTCACCTTTTGCATGTTCATCGCCCGCTTCTTCTTTTTCCACCTCTACGAGTCGCCAAAGTTCCTGCTATCCCGCGGCCGCCAGGACGAGGCTGTCGCTTCCGTCCACGGTATCGCTTACAAGAACAAGACTAAGACTTGGCTCACTACCGAGATCCTGAACGAGATTGGCGGACACCCCGAGACAACGGAGGAAGAGAAGCTTGGTTTCGTTGACATTATCAAGCGCTTCTTTTCCAAATTCTCTATGGAGCGCATCGGACCTCTGTTTAACAACAAGCGCCTCGGAATTACCACCGTCATCCTTTGGTTCTGTTGGACCACCATTGGTATGGGATATCCTCTGTTCAACGCTTTCCTGCCCCAGTACCTGGGTAGCTCCGGTGGCCAGACCAATTCGGCCTACATCACCTACCGCAATTATGCTATCACCTCCATCGTTGGTGTTCCTGGCTCCCTTCTGGCTTGCTACACCGTGGAGGTCAAGTACATCGGCCGCAAGGGAACTATGGCCGTTGCTTCTCTGATCACCGGCGTGTTATTGTTCTGCTTCACTGCCTCTACCAACGCTAGCGTGCAGCTTGCTTGCACATGCCTCGAGGCCTTCTTCCAGAACATCATGTATGGTGTTCTCTATGCCTACACACCTGAGGTCTTCCCTGCCCCGAACCGTGGTACCGGCACGGGTATCTGCAGTTGCTTGAACCGTATTGCTGGTCTATGTGCTCCACTGGTCGCCATCTACGCTTCCACTGCCAGTGCTGATGCGCCCATCTACGCATCTGGCGCTCTGATCTTGGCTGCATTTGTAGCCATGGTTTTCCTCCCCATCGAGACTCGTGGCAAGCAGACTTTGTAAGAGCAAAGTCTCGCTTTCGCTGTCATGATGTCAGCAACCTCCCCCACAAATAACAGAATCAGGGTCTAGTATGACCCTTGGCTCCACTATGACTTTGAGCTTATGTTTATGTTTATATTTATGGCTATAAGGTGACGAAACTTGCTGGAGCTGAGCCTGGCGCCTTTCTGCGAGATGAAATGAGGCGGGCCCTTTTCTTTTCTTTTCGATTGCGGAACATTTTGGACTTTCTTGTATACTTGAGTGAGCGATAAGGCTCCCCAGTGGATATATGTGTGATACCATCGTGACTTTTGAATTGTATATCAGATTTGAATCTATATCATCTTTAAATATCCTCCCTCCGAATTACCTGGGCATTCGTGCGACTGGGTGGCAGCCCTGGAGACATGATTCCAGCCATCTTATGGAACCGGGCCCGAGAACAGTACATTGAAGCCAAAGTCTACCTGATAGTACTACTAGTACCAGTACGAATGATCGAAGAGAGAACAAGAGCAGGCAAGACGAGCAGAGCTAGGCAAAGCCGACACGCGTTTGGGCTGCCCGTAAATCTAGTTCAAAATTCACTTGGGAGGGAGTGTCCTCTAGGTAAAGCAAGGAAATCAGAAATATGTGATAAAGACCGACGAAGCCCCTTGAAGATAAAGCCTAGTAGACAGGAGAAGGTAAGAGGCACAAGAAGAACTCCGACCAGGATCCTACAAGCCACTTTAACGAAAGATAACATCGCATAACACAAAAAGACCGTCGCCAGTCAAACCCATCGTTCACCGTTGCCCATTTCCCAGATTCCCAGTCAAACAAAGCCTTGGAGTATGTATGCTCTTCTTCGCCAGTTGATCCGATAACGCACAGTTCCGAAAATAGAGAGAGATAGAGATGGAGAGATAGATAGATAGATGATAAATAGGAGAAGGATGCGAGAGGAGGAGAAAATGATGAGATGAACTGCGTAGTATAACAGAGGTTGGAGGGAATAACAGATGAGAGAAGAAAATATCATGCAACGTCGCTCGTGAAAGGAGGAAGAAAAAGGAGAAGAGAAAAAAAAAACAAAGATGAATGAAGGGCTGAAGCGAACCAAAGCACTGCTGAAACACAATAGACTTGTATGTTGTGCATAAAAGATCATGATCAGATCAGATCACCGGTTGCCCTTGATTGCGGCGACCACGCTTTTCCAGCAGCGTTGCGCCGTTTAAGCTGAGTTCGAAGGGTTGCTGGGCTCTCTGGCCGATGCTGCTTTTGGCAGCGGCAGCGACAGTCGCATCGTGTTGGCCATACCCTTGTTTGCGAGGAGGTTGTCGATGGGCTTGTCGCGCCTGCGCGGCACTGCTTTGGGCACCGAGATTGGTGGAGCGAAGCTTAGCTTCCATGCCGGCCATTTCGCCGCCATTGCTGGGCTTGGCAACCTTGAGTGGCGGTTGGTCGGCAGCTGCCTCAAGGCGGGCACGGTAATCGGGTTCGTCGTCATAACCTTCATTGAGAGATCCAAGGGCGGACTGGAAACCAGCCACTGAGCTACCGCTCTGGGCTGCCTGTTGGCGGACGTGTCGACGGCGTTTGGTTTCTTCTTCCTGTCGGTGGACTGCATAACCGACATCGAACACTTCACGTAGATTGAATGCACCGGGTGAACGGAAGTCCATTCGGCGGTCTGCGCCAGCAGAGGGAACATCCAAAGAGGCACGGGAGCTGTTGGGTTGGTATGGAGCTGATTCAGCGCCGACGGGGTCGAATTTCATGCCTTGTTGGTAGACGGGGCCAAGGGGTGTGGCCAGAGGCGGCGCGTCAGCGGCCGCGGTGGTCTCCTCATCTGTTTCTCTGATCCAAGGGTGATCAAGGAACTCTTTGATCGTGAAACGTTTCTCGGGGTCGACAGTTAGCAGGTGAGAAATGAGATCCTGGGCCGACTTGGAAATGTCATCCCACCATGGTGATAGGAAGGTGTATTGGCCTCTCGCAACCTTCTCCGTAAGGACCTGGATACTCTCGTCGTAGAAGGGAGGGAAACCGCACAAAAGGGTGTAGAGGACGCAGCCCATAGCCCACATGTCCACACTCTTTGAATACCGTTCATCCTTCACGATCTCGGGGGCGGTATATCCAACAGTACCACAGGGGGGTCATCGTCTGGCTGTCCCAGATTACCTTGGACAGACCAAAATCGGCGATCTTAATTACACCGATACCTCCAGAGCCAACTCCCGCAGTGAATTCTCCTTCATCTTCCTTCTCTTCATCACCCGGTTGTTGTGGTTTGGGGGTTTTGCTGGGAACGTAAGGGGTGGGGTAGAAAAGAAGATTCTCGGGTTTAATATCACTATTCTGCTAGTTAGCTATGATTCAAGCGCAACAGTCAAGAGGATGGACGAACCGATGCACCACGCCAGATGTCTCGTGGAGGTATTCAATCGCTTTCGCAACTTGCAAAATCACGTGCCGGCTCAGGTCTTCGCTGAAGTATGTCAATCGCACGATCTGGTGGAAAAGCTCGCCACCAGGACAAAGCTCGAGAATGATGTAGTAATATTGGCGGGATTCGGAAAAGTCGACCAGTTTCACGATGTTGGGGTGGTCCAAATTGCGCATGATCTGGACTTCCTTGAGGATGTTTGCTCGCTGCGGGGTAGAGATAAGACGTTAGTAAATGATCGACACAACCATATCAGGTGAAGGAAAGGATATAAAAAAAAGGCCAACCCAATGCGCAGCAGCCAGGTAGCGGACAGACCGCGATACCCAACGAAGCGTTGGTAGATATTGGAGACCGAGCTTATGCGATGGGAGTTTTTGCGCACCTCTGCAGCCTTGGGGACCTTGACGCTCGGATGAAGATGATCGGACTACAGAATATGTATTGGCGATGTGTTGCCACCTCTTTCTCCCGACCAGAAACAATTGGAAGAGCAAGAAAAAGAAAAGAGAGAGGGAGAGAGAGGGATAGGCAAGGCAATGAAAAGGGAGAGAGGAGAAAAGAAAGACCACCGGGTCACCCTACCTGATTGCTATTCATTTCAAATTTGCGGACAACCTTGATAGCGACTTCGTCGCGCTGCCCGGTCGAGTCCTTGGCACGGTAGACGTTGCTGAAGGCGCCATCGCCCATTTTCTCAATGAGGATCCAGCGCTCGAGGCCGGGGTATCTAGGCATCTTGGTGCGAGTTTCCTTCTCTTCGGCAACGATGCGTTCAATTTCGACGGAGCGATCGCGGCGGGAATGGGCATCTGAAGGTTGTTGTGCGGTCGCATGGGTATTCCCACGGTGATCCCCTGTGTCAAAGGCCTCTAGCGCGGGAGAGAATTGGCGCTGGGGTTGTGGTTGTGGCTCGGCGTGGATGGCAGATACGTCGGTGGTAGGTTCGGAATGAGGTGTTACAAAGCGAGCTTGTTTCCCATGCCGAATGAAGTTTTTGATGTTCTGTATTGTGCTCATGATGGATATTCGAGGGCGGAGGGAGAGTCAGGGGAGGTTAAGGGGGTGTTGAGGAGAGAGATGGGGAGAGAGGGCGAGGGGAGACAGGGAAAACCGTTAAAGACGTTGTTGGTCCCGGTCCAGAAAAAAGTTGGCAGTGGGTGGGAAAAAGATGGAGATGGAGAGAGAAACCAGAAAGGAAAGAGAGAAAAAAAAGGAAAAGCACCAGTTCACACGCGCACAGTTCTTTTTTTGGGGGAATATTTGAAAAAGAAACGAGTTGTGGGAGAGGAGGAGAGTAAAAGGGGGAAACCTGATGAGGTCAGAATGGGCTTGGAGGTTGGCGGGGGAGTTGACGCCTATGACGCGGTGGGATCTTCGCCGATGTCATCGCTGATTTAGTGAGGAGGGCTAGGTATGGCACGCTTCCTGTAGATTATATTACTTATACCTTGTACGGAGTACTTACAAGTCGATATATTAACCCGGGAGATATTACTCATACAATATTCCATCTAATAGTAGTACTACTGGTATGCTGAACTGCTGTGATTCATAGAGCGTCATGCTCGCCACACGTCCCCATGTCCACCTTCCCTGTTGATTGCAAGTTGTGACCTACTACTAGTATGACTGGTTCTGAATTGAAATCATCAATGGCATCATCCTGGACATAAACCCTACCTCTAGTCACCCCGAAACAGAAGCCTGATTCTGGAGTCTACCCAGGTGATCGTGATAGGATGGCTCTACCTCATTGATTCCCGACATCTGGATCCTCTTGGCGAGTACGGAGTACTGTATGCAGTAGCTCTTGAAGCAAACCTGAGACGTGCATTTTATCTCCTCCCATACAGCATTGGAATGTGAGTGCCAGTGTGGCGCATCCACTCAAGGGGTCAAACATGCTGGCAGCAAGGAGAAGGAGGCACAAAAATCTGAAACATGCCCAGATTGAATGTCTCCATTTTCCACCTAGGTAGTATATCTCTTGATCAGATCGGAGGGTGCCGAGGAGAGTTCCGGCCCAGGAACCCCCACATGGAGTGCCCGTTGACGTGGATATTGAGGCTAGACCACCAGTAGAGTAGACAAAGACAACTTGGAACATGATCAACAGGCCAAAGAAACGAAAGACATTCCTTCTTCTCATTGATCTTAAATTTACTAAATACCCCTAAATATACTCCGTACTAATTATAATAGATATACCAAATCCACCTCCTTTGCCTTGTAGAATCGTGCAGGCAGCCCCAGCCACTCACATTCATTCACATTCACCAGGCTTTGCCTTAGCCTTTCTCTCTTCCTCCTTTCACTGGAACCCTCTGTCCTTTTGATCGACTCCCTTGCATCCTGCAGAAACATCCGACGATCCATCATTTTACCATCCTTATCTATCATCTTTCGTCTACCCTCCCGTCCGCTCTTTATACTCTCTTATACTCTCCCTGCCTACTGCGTGAGCCTCCCAAGATTGTCCCGCGATGGGATCCCTGCGACCGTTGACGACCAAGTCAATCATCTAAAGAAGATCCAGAGGAGAAAGGAAATTGTCATGCGATAAAACCCCTCTTATACTGATCGCATCCCACATCCTCTCACCGTTTGACTTTTGTGATGCCTGGCCTGGAGGTGACGAGCGGCCCATCGGTGGATTCATCAGGGCGACCGCTCTTCAGGTCCCACAAGGCCCTCCCACGGAGGGGTATTAGTACGGGCATCACTTCCCATGATTCTGTCGACCTTGCCCAACCGGCCTCTCCGGATCAGAATGCCACAGTTGCGCCGGCTCCTCCGTTGACTCCGCCTGGTGCGATCCCGGACCAAACCATGGGCCACCACGATCACGATCGTACCCCCCGCAAGACCGACTCGTCCACCTCAGAGAATCACTCGACCGGTATGGTGACGCCTCACCGACCATCAAAACCCCCGACTCCCGATGTGACGCCACCTCGCACGACTTCGACAAAACGACCGACCCTCAATCAGCTGGGGAATTTCCTATCATCTTCCTCGCGGGCTGAGTCCTTTCAAACTGCTTGCGAGAATATCTCATCGGATGGCGATATGGACACACCAGTGCGAACCCCTCGTTCTCGGAGCGTTTCGCAAAAGATTGGCCGGAGGATTCCTTCCTCCTCAAGACAATCTTTCACGAATGGGACGACTGTGTTGCGGGCATCACTTGCCGGTCCCAGAGACAAAGATACTCCGCAATCCACCTCTCAACCACTCAGCGAAACGGACTATGAGACAGGATTTGAGTCGTTCGATGGAGAATGGGCGAACCCGGCGGATGGATCACCCACTCCGCTTCCTGGCGAGCGCAGAGCCTCGAAAGCCACAGCAACTCAAAGTCGGCAAAGTTCTAAATTGGCCTCGGATAATGACACGCTGGACGTCTTGAATCTGAACGCCTCGCTGATACGCGAACAGACTCTACGTGGTAGACTAAAAGAACCCTCCAACTTATCAGCGAGCCCTTCAATGGAGCGTTTCCGGGCAGAAATTGGTTGGCCATCCCAGGAAGAACCGGACTCTCGCCGGTTATCAGGAATATCTTCCACATCTACCGTGGAGGCGGTGATCATCGACTCCCCTAAACGAGCGCAGAGGCTACTGCGACATACAGAGAAGAGAGGCTCCCTTAGATCGGCAAGCTCGCCTGTCATCATTTCAGGACGCACGTCCACGGTATCCAATTCTGATTCGCAACAGCATCGCCTTGTCCATAAGGCAGGCCGCATATCCGAGCAGGACCGTCGCAGTATATCATCAGACGTATCTTTCTCCTCAAAGACCACGACAAGTGCGCCTCCAGCCTCCGTTGACATCATCCCCGTCGTCGTTGTACCGGAGAGACGTTCCTCCTTGAGGTCGGGGCCGAATAGTCACATCTCGTCGAAGCCTACGTCTCAGCGATCTAGCCAGCGGGCCCCAGCTCCATCGAAAGGATCGGGTTCCATAGATGTTCCTCGGCAGCGCAAGCGAACCATGTCGGATTCAGCATCTGCACGGTCCCGAGACACAAGCTCTCGAGGCCGCCCTGTTGGTCGTCCTATCATTCCGCCTCGTAGCTCGTCGCTTTCTGCTCCAACCAGCCGTAACAATTCGCGGGCCACATCTCTCACATCAGATAGCTTGCGCAGTCACACAATCGCCATGGACCTGGAGATGCAGAAACGACTCGAGAAGCAGCCCGTTTCCCCGCCACGCCACAACGTCCTTGACTCTCAGAACCAGTCATCGTCCCCACCCCAACGAAAGAGCCTTCTGCCGCCGCCCAATCTACCAGCCCTGATGATCAGCTCGACCGACGACATGGCTACTCTGCGCCCTCCATCGTTACCGTATACGCAATGGTCGATTCCGTCCTCGTCTCCTGGACCTGTTGAGATCCGAGAAGCAACTGCCGTCAGCCTCTTCCCGCACAATAACCGATCGCTGCTCCTAGTCAACCAGCCTCGAATGGCACCTGAGACATGCGTGCTCCAGGCTTTCCACAATCCCGAATTCTATCCACGAACACCAGAGATACCCACCGATGGAGCTGATGATCCGTTGAGTGGTCTATCTTCACGCCTAGCAACTGCCCTCGTTGACTCCCCACTGAAGAACCCACGCCCACCACCGAAGCCTCCAGTTTCCAAGCCTCTACCGCCGATTCCCACTCACCAGCAAACTGGAGATTTCAACCAGAACAAAGATGGTGGCGCAGGCTTAGGTCGTCGCTGGAACTCGGTTCGCCGCCCTTGGGGCGCCAGGCCACGATCGGAATCATTCAATGCCATTACTCGGACGCTGTCCATGCGATCAGCCAAAAACCGGACAGCGGGATTAGAGATGGACAGTACCCTACACCCTTTCTGGCGACCGCGTGGATTCTGGGATGATATCCCCGGGTCCCCAGAAAAGGGACGATCCGCTCGCCAAAGCGTCCACGGCGCTGACAGTTTCGTCAACAACTCACTCGGCCTGCCCCAACAACGAATTATCTTCGACGGACCACCCTCGCTGGCACAATACAGCCCCGAGATGAGACGAGTATTGGACTATAACGCTAGTCGCGGCAGTCTGGTCGATCGGGGCATGATTCGGTCCCCACTGTATCAGCATGGCTACCGTGTCATTCCTCAGGTTAGTCGATGGAGCCTACGTCTTCGATCAATGTCGTTGCGCAATGTGCGAACCCGTCTCCGACGTCTGCGTCAGCGACGTGATGAGAGGAAACGAGCTGCTCGCCGTGAGACCCTCAAGCAAAGCATTGGGGGGCCAGTCTATGTGGCGTCCAGCACCACCAATGGAGTCGCCCGCTGATTTGCTATCCACGCCACGTTAAACCCTGCATCTTGCCTGGATATGTTCAACATGACTGAAATCTTTTACGATGATCCTGCATCTGGGAGTCAATCGACATGCTCTGCCCTGCCCCTGTTTCTCCGCTATGGAAGTTTGATTTATGTTTATGTTTTATGCCTTGTTTCTGTTGCCTCCCCCCCCTTCCCCCTTCCCCTCCCACTTCGCGTGCATGAATTGAAACCTTTCCGATACGAGATCTACGAATTATTTACGACGCACCGCTGACGACTCGATGACTTATGCTTATGCCCACCCTGCGCCTGTTATGTTTTGGCCTACTTGGAATGTACCATAAGCAACTCCGCGTTATCTGAACAGGCATTTCTAGCCCATGATTAAATAAAGCCCTGTTTTCTCTTATGCAAATATGCGCCTGTCCATCTAGATCGATTACCCTGCAAGAACCTGACAGAGAACTCCAACCGCCCCTCTTGGAACGATCCATGGGGGGTTATAGCCTCAGGTGTGACTGTACAACCTCCGTATCACCGTCGCCCTCCCCAATAACTTGAACTTGAACCCCCCCTCCCAACCCCTCGCGCTCGTTTCCCTCGCCCAGATATACTCGACCGACCCCGGATCGCTATAGAATTGTACTCCGCCTCCCTCCCCACTCGACCCCTTTGCTCTCGAGGAGTTTCAGAGCCCGTATTCGCGCTCCCTGCTCCCTCTTGAAGTTCCCCTCCCTCCCCCACGCCCCCAGCACGGCCCTCAACGCCCAAGCTCCTTGCCCGTGCCCGCTTCAGCATCGCCTCCCAAACCGGCGGATCGAGAAACGGTTGCGGGGGCGCAGCAAAGTCGAACTCAATGCGCGTGAGATTCCTTGATGGTCCGTCATCTGCCCTGTCTAGATGGCTCGCAGGCTCGTCTGCGGTTTCTGGGACCCGGGCCGCTTTCATGCACGTCTCGGCCGCCACGGCGCTCGGATTGAGGATTTGATATGTGCGGGGTTGGGTTTGGGGGGTGCTGCTGTTTGTTCTTGGTGGGAGGAGGGCTCGCTTTTGGGGGATTATTAATGGGCGGGTGGAGGGCATTTCAAGTTGATGGTGGGGTGGTTGAAATGTCTGGGGGGTTTTGGTTTAGAGAAGCTTTGCCTAGTAGAGGAATGTCGATGTCGATGTGGGGAGCTACTAGTATGGACCCTACGGAGAAGCGGTAGAGGGTCCCCGAGGGTCCACACCGACCGCTTATCATCGCCTAGGAAATATACTTCAACTTGGCGGTAGTCGAGATATCCAGGTTAAATCAATCCATCATGAGGTTAATTCAAGTGATTTGGATTACAAAAATAGTCTCAATATTCTCGATCGTACAGTCTGCCATATCATACCCTTTATACCCGCGGACGGAGACGCACTTTAAGCCCGAAGTTGGGAACATAGAACTCTTCAAAGGAGAGAGATCCGATCAATGGCCCCTGCGAAGATCCCTCGGCCCGGGCAGAATGTCAAAGCGAATCAATAACTCGGCAATAACTAGCTTCATTAGGGCACTTGCCATCCACCGGCCGGGACTGCAATAAGCATGAACGAGTCAGCCGAGGGTTCTCGGGGCGGTTGGTATTAAAATGATGAAGGGGAGGAAATTTTAGTATGATGGAAATGAGCTTAAGAGCTTACCAGGCATGCACGCCCATACCGAAAACAAGATAGTCGGGGCCTAGGTCGACTAGGCTAGTATTTGTTGCCCCGGCCGCTGCGCGCTTCACAAATCGATAACCGTCGAAAGTCTCTGGATCCTCGTAGTATGCACTTGACCGCTGGATCCAGCTGCTCGGTACGCCGACATGGGTTCCAGGCTTGAGTATAATCCCTGTATATGTAGGGTCCAAAGATCAGCCACATACTCGTAATCGAATAGTGTAAAAGGGAAGAGGGCTTGCTTGAGATTAGTTAGAAGTTGAAGGTGACTGACCATTGGAGAATTCGAGTGCTTTGACACAGACTCGGTGGGCGGATACTGCAGCAGTTGAGATTGTTAGATTATGGACTGGTCGTCCTGGGATGCCGGTCAGGTGGACATACTGGCTGCAGGTGGGTGTAGACGTTGGCATTCTTTCAAAAAGCTATCAAGAAGAATCATTTGATTACAGGCTGGGACGGTGGCTCCATAATTGGCGAAGACTGCTTCGACCTCATCTCGCAGTGGTTGAATGTATTCAGGTTGTCGGGCTAGCTCGGCCAAAGCGCCGTAGAGAGCCTGTTGATACTAATCAGCGCCTCTGAATCTATTTGCAAGATCGTTTGTTATTATGAGAACTTGAACTCACGTAGCCGGTTGTGTATATGAAGGCAAATTGGAGCAATAGCATCTCTCCAAGGACCTCGGAGTAGCTCCATCGATGATGAAGTACCGAGCTTTCGAATAGCCACCGAAATATCTCAACCTATGATCCAAGGTCAAAAGAGCTCTTTTTTTTCTAATTATGTAAAAGTGATCAGTTTGACCACCTTGAAGGAAATACTGACTGGCTTATCTGTCGACTTAGGATCACCTTTATCATTAATACCCCCAGGGCATGCCATCTCATCGCGGTACTCGGCCGCCCGGGCATCGAAGTGCTTAAGCAAAATCTTGCGTGATGCATGCATATCCCAGCGTGTACCAATTGTAGCCAGGCGGCTGATGATGCCACCCAAATATCTAGAAATTGAAAGTTACCTAGGTATCAGATTCTAATCTTGCATCATAGACAGCCTGGGCGATTAGGGTTCAAGTTACCTTTTCAACCGATCCGGGACGAGAAATTGCACCCGGGTAGTCATGATCATCCCCAGTATATGCTCCTTGACGGCTTTGAGGTACTCTTCATTGTTGGCGAGACGTTTTCCTACCATGGCATAGCTACCGCTGCGGGCGACGACCGAGTATGCAAATTCGAAACAACTGATCGTGCATTCTGAATTGGGATCAGTTAGGCCCACATTAAGTCCAAGATAAATGGCAAAAATATTCCTTACCGTCGCTCTCGTCAAAGGATAGAGCACGCAGCTGGGTTTGTATAGCCTCGTTCATTGAGGGTATATACCGATCCAAATGCTTGTGCACAGTTCCACGAATGACACCAGGAGTAGTCTTCGCGACCGCAGGCCACCCTCCACGGGGGGAAAATACCCAGGCATGACGTGAGAAATTTGAAGAAGCTTTTCAATTTTTAGTTCCGAGACCAGAGCTTCGGGCAAGTTAAGTGGGAAGGGAGCGCGGCGCCCTCACCTGGTCAATCCATGGCTCCGGAGATGCGACTGCGCTTCCGGTGTTCTTCAACTCGTCAATTAACTCGGGCTTGCAAATGATAACCTGGCCAAAGCGGAATGTACGCGGGATCTCGAAGAGCCCGTCGAAGAACCGGTCGTATCCTCTTTTGATGAGACCCGGCCCGTCCACGAGGAACCGGTAGTGTTGGTAGATAATCGCACAAGTACGTGTAGTCATCACAAAAGGAACATTACTCTGTCAGATTTCTTGGGATTAGTCTTGGGTTCTTCTCATTGATTTGATGGGGGGGCAGTTTTATTGGACTTGGATATGATATGGAACTACCTAGGTACTTACGTTGGCCAGCTGACTCGACGTAAGAATCAACGAAAGTATAATCACACAGCCGAAAATAACATAGACACCAATCAAAATAGTCACAGTTCCAACTGGAGGTTCAAGCCATCCAGACGATATAAATTGAATCAGAGCCATTGGAAGCCTCTTGCCTGGAGCGAGAAGATGAGGGGCCCACAAAGAGCGAAATAAGAGGGAGGGGAGGGTTTTATATGGATTACAAGATGACTAGGCAACCAGAGTGTCATTGAGTCGCTGGTGGCATGGTACCCACACTCTAGGTTATGTAAATCGACAAGGCAGCCCGCCGCTGTGAATAGCGAAACAAGCGTGTAACTTCAAGGCTATACATGTGCCAGTGGCCAATCTAACGTGGTGGACCTGATAATGTGACTTTCAATTGCAGCCGTACAGGACTTTTATTTCAATATTGCATGCGGCTACTGTCGAATCGGGCCAGAAAAAGAAGTAAATTGACATAGGGCTTCATATACTGTGACACGGTTCCATTGCCAGAGTGCCGAGTAGGAAACTCGTTAAAAATCATAGACAAGGGAATGTCAGACCATAATGACCTTGAGTAAGGCGGGGGAAAGAATAAGAGAATAAAAGAAAACTCCCAGTGAGGTATCAAAGATTGGGTCCGTGTGGTATAGTAGTACAAACAGAGACGCGCACAAATTACTCCCGCAAAATAACAACGCCAGAGAATCAGAAGAGCCAAGCAAATTGCCTTATACAATGCCTTGCGGCTCCATTCCGCCCATGGCGGAGTATGAGTAAGGCAAGTCAACCAGGCCGTCGAGCAGCCAGTTAAGTGGGTCGAAGACCTCGTAATTTGGTTCCATGAATCCGCTGGGAAGTCCGCCAACACCGGTACCTGGTGCCTGAACACCCAGATTGGCTGGGATCATTGGTGCCGGTGCAAGACTTGGATCGCCACCGGAGATACCCGGCGTGGACGTAGAGGTGTGTAGAGGGCCGACGGATGACGTTGCGGATGAATCGGCCGCTGAATCGGGGTTGGTCGGGTTTTTGAGATAGGCTTTACGAAATTAGTATGACTTCCAAGTATGATACGAGGACATAGTACTGACCTTCAATGTTTCGACCCTTGGTTCTAGCATCTTCTCGCCATCGCCAGACAGAGTCGAATAGTAGAGACATGCTCATTCGGCAGCGAACCTTCAATCTCAGAGAATCATCCACATCGGATCCGCTTGTTATCTGGGGGGGCACCGCCTAATCTCCACATCTGAGCCAGCACCTCCGCAAGACGTTCTGGCAGGTCATTGCTCGATACAGACACACCGCGGACAGCCCAAATGGTGCGATTAAATAGACTCTTCGTGTATTCCATGTCAATGTGGGTGGCAAAGAAACTCTTGCTCAGTTTGAGGAGAGTGCAGCCGGCAGCAACCATCATTTGGTAAACATAGTAGGGGGTATAGGATAGGACAGGTCCAACTTCGGTCTCAAGCTTCATTGCGACCTCAAGGAATGATGTTGTTGCAACGTAAAGAGAAAGGAGACGCTCCCTGTAATCTTTCGCAGAAGGGTCATCTAAGAACGCCGACAAATGGAGATGAAGATTTGAAGCACGAAGAAATAGATCGGTGATACCTAGTTGTAAATTAGTTTTTGCATAACCGGAAGTGGATTAGTCTGGTCTTACAATCGTTTTGTCCTTTGAAGTGTTCCTCAAGCTCGTCAAAATCCCGCGAAAGGAATGAAAGCAAGGTGCTTCTCTCCCGGTCGCTAGTCAGCCCGACAGGATCACGTCGATTTGTATACAATGCTCTGGTGATCTTATCGCAAAATTCCTCAATCTCCAACCTAGATCGAATTTCTCCGGGTAGTCTGAAGTTGGGATCCGAGGAATCATTCGAGGATAATGTCCAGTCGTAGATTGTTGACGGAGGTTGACCGTATCCGGTAGAAACTCTGAGAAAGCAATGAGAAGATGTTTCAAGGGGGAAAGTGAGTAGGGCAGCGTACCTCTGTGCAACAATATTGCAAATAGCCCACGTGCGTACTTTATCTCTAAGCTCATCTTCAATAAGTTCCACACGGAATTTGCTGAAGTCTTGGCTGTGGGATGGCCGATGAAGTCCAAGCTGCATGGCAACCTGGATCATCATTCCGCAAAGCATAAACGTTGGATCAGTGGACGTACTGCTCGTGGGAAATGGCCACGAACACAGCAGACAGAGCGCCTTGACAACATGATAGCTTTGAGGAATATCTGCTAACGTGCTCCAAACTAGGCGAGTGACAGGGCCGGCAAGAGAGTTCAACAAGCCGGTGTCACCCTGATATCGTCTAGCACCAACACTTATAATCGTCCAAAACAGCAAAGGTGAAGCAGCATAGTAATCGTCCGGGGATTGCTGTCGGTCTAAAAATGGTAGGAAGGGATGGCTGTAGGTGAAGAACCTATTTTTCTCAAAGTTAGATATGGCAGTGAATATCGATGTCTTCGTCGGCGTCTTACATATTGAAAAGCTCCGTCACTTTCTCCGGAGCGATCATGACATCTTCGAGTCGCTTGAATTGTTGGTTTCCATTTCGCATATAGTTTGATCCGTCAAATCCTGATCGCAAGTCGAGTAGCGATGCTACGGCTTCCTGAGAACCCATGTATTGGTCTGACGATACGGCCGAGGGTGTTTGATAGACGCCTGCGGGGCTGACCTGATTGGATTCTTGCTTGGGCGTCAATTGGTCTGCCGGTAGAGGTTGTTGGGGAAGAGGCGTCGAAGAAGGATTGGTTAAGATCCGTTTTCTCAATTCGATAATCTCTCGTTCCATCTCGGCATTGCGGCTGCGTTTGCCGACCCGCTTGAAATTCGACTCGATTTTGCAGTCCAATTTCAGCCGACGGCATCGAGAACAATCAACCCACGGATCTTGGACAACATCGCAACGGAGCTGTGAAAATGAAGGTGTCAGTTTAGTGGATTGTTCTTGTTTGGAAAGGACCGAAACCAGTCATCGTCGCCACTCGGACAGATGTCGAGCAGCGTCGCATGGCGTCGCGCGATCTGGGCTGCACATACCTTTTGTTGTCGACATTCATTACAGGCACGCTTCACGGGTTGTCGCCTCTTATCATCACGACCATCGATATCCTCCGCCTCGTCAATACTCCCCGGTGAGCTGTCGATCCCCGCCATGGTCACATTGCGCTTGCGGTTCTGCATGTCGGAAGCAGCCATGGAGACTGGCGCATGATTCACGCCCGCCATCACGGGATTTATAACAGCTGTAGCATTATCGATCCCGACTGTTGGATCGAAGGTAGGGTTCTGGAGCCCTCCGGTTCCGCTTGATCGGCCAAAAGACGCCAGGCTGATGACGTTGATGCAGGCCGAATCGAATTTTTCGAGCGGGACAAGGGCGACTTGTCCAGCGAGACACACAGATGATGCAGGTAAATTGCTTAAACGAACAGGTACGACAGTCGCTTTGTTTCCAGGCCAAATTGGACCGCAAGTTCTCCGCACGGCGATTGCAGACTTGAAACTGGAACTTTGAGCGCCGTGCTCTGCTGGGTGACTCAGCGCGGGGAGGTATCAGGTGACTCCGGCAATGCGGTAAATCGGTTTTCCTGAACGGTGAGGACGGAGTACAATTTCCCGGATTTAATGAATGATTGATTTGAATTTGAAAGCAATTTTGTATCATATCCAGTCGCGACTGAAGTATCAATATCTCTTGGCAAATCTCATTTTAATGCTCATTCTCATTCCAATGGCGTTCATTCATTGAAAAGCCATAGCTCACGTGCAGCATGACCCTTTCGCAACGACCACCCGGTGATCCACCGTGGAAGGTGGGTAACTCATTTTCAACTAGCGGCTGATCGATTCGCCCAGAGAGATCGAGACCAGTTCTCGCTTAAAGGAATCTCATCTAGAAGATGACGTGCTCAGGAATGTGGAGTCGCACGGTAAACGGCTGTTTTCTTCTAAACCTCCAGGACCGTGCAACTTGAGGGAGACTCCGAGTCGGAGATAATATACATACTCGTAGTGGTTTTGATGAAGAAATCAATAGGATATAATAATACTACCACATTTCCGAAAGATTGAATGAGATTGCAGCCAGCCATTGAATTTATCATAACATATCTACTTAGATATTTCCTAGAGCAAGTCGATTTGATACCTACCTAGGTAGGTAGCAATGAACCCAAATGCTTTTTAACGGTTGGTTACCCACTACTACATACTACTATCACAAGTACCTATTTAGTAGTATCTTCATCCATGTCTGTTTGCACCACAAGAACTGTTCCGATAAACTTGAATGAACCCACGCATCAACCCTGCTTCATAACGACACAATAACAATATTATCACATAGATAATATGATCTTTCTCAGGCTTTTCGATGAACAAGTACCTGTCCAAGCCGGGCGAGGACTCGGAGAGCTCAGTGTTGCATTGAACTGAGCCCGGAGAAGCCTTGGCGGGCACAAAACGCCCCTTCTCGTATACAGTTGATCGCAGTCAAGTTACTGGACTCGGACTCGGAGAATATGGGACTCGGAATTTTGATTTGGAGCACCCCACCCACTAATATAGTATGCCTGCACCTACTAGGTATATAGTTAGCTAGTACTAGGTGTAATCATAATGGCACAGGTGCCATTTTGAAGTACTCCGTGCTTTGTATATCATTGTAGCTTGCTTTCAACAGCTGGAGATTAACATGTTCTATAATCAATGAATAAATTTTCAATCTCCAAGTGCCAGCATATAATACTGCTAATACAAGGCGATGAGGTCACTATAGATGGGGGCGGGGATGCAGGGAGGCGGTGCAGGCGTGTTTGATTGGCCAAGGTCCCTCAAGGCCCCCCCAATGCGCTCCCCTACGATAGGGTACATAGAGTAAGGCTCCCCGAATGCTTCCCCGCCCCAAAGCCCTGCCCCGTTCTTTCCCTTCATGGAAATCACATGGAACCTTCTGTTGCGGAGTCACATGTACCTCACCCCGGACTTTTATTGGCTTGTTGCCCTGCTCGGAGCTTGAACTTCATCACTAGCAAGGCTTAGCTAGGCGTTTTTCCCGGTTCGCTTTCAGGACCCTCATATGCAACTGCTTTCTTGATCATTGGTCCTGTCTAGCGCCCGGCCACGCCATCTCTGCCCCGATTGCCATAGGGTACCATAAACACCCGATTGGATGGGATCTGACAACCCTTGGGAACGTCTGACTTGATATGGTTCTTCATCTAGCGGAACCGCTCTGATCCGGAATTCATTTAAATCCCCCATGTTCCTCAGGATCATCTTGCTTCCTCAACACAAACACTCGCCTCCATCACTCTACATACCCCCTCTCAAATCCGATATCTCCGCTATCTACCGTTTATCCTCTCTGTGATTCCTTTCAACATCGATCACTGATTATAACAACCACAACCATGGGCATGTCCACGGACATCAAGTCCCAGGAAACGTCCTCCAAGGGTACCGCCAGCAACGCTGACGCCAAGGAGAGGCCGCCCTCCTATACTCAAGAGGAGGAACTACTTCTCAACTTCCCTACGCTGAACCTCAGCGACACTAAAAAACTACCCTCTCAAACCAGTACGGTGACGCGCGACCAATGTGTTGCGCACCTCAAGTTTCTGGCTGTTCTAGCCGATCTGCGTGACACGGTCTCAAATACCGATGGTCTCTTCGGCATTTTCGACAAACAATCCGACTTCCACAAGGACTTCCTCCAAGCACTTAACGAGTCCCGGGCTCGTATTCGGGAGAAACGCTGGGCTATATACACAGCTCGCGCCGTCGAGCGATATCGCAAATGGTGGTTCACATGCGTTCCTACGTCTCGACCACCTGTGACGATTTCCGAACTAGAAAGCCCCGAATATGAGACCATTCTCGATAGCGAGACTCAGGTTTCATGGAGCGAAGACAATCTACCCCCGCTTGGTGAGTCAGGAGATATATCCATGATAGTATAACAGAGGCGATGCTGATTGAGACCTAGATATCCTGATGGTCTGGCATTCTCATATGCTCAATCCCAGGGATTTCCTCGAAGACTGTATTCGTTATGGAAAGCTAAGTACCTGGAGAACAGGGTTCCCCTTTGAAGCGATAAATCGCTCCATTCACGACCGCACACTGGAGTATGCTGTCAGCGAAAAGAGCATACAAATGTTCAAGACGCAGCTTCATATGGAATGGGATAACTTAGAAGATCCTCCTGGATTGGAAGTTGAATGTCCCTGCTGTAAAAAGCCGCTCACTGTGTTATGGACCGAAGGAAAAATGAGAGCCGAGCTTAAAGAGCCATTCAGTGACTGCACGGGCTTTGCAGACGCATCTTTCAAGGTTAAGTGCGGCTCCTGTTCACATATTCTTGATCATGACCGACTTCGAGTTGCCAAGTTTCGCAAAGACCTTACGGAACTGATCAACTTCAAACGACCGATGCCAGGAACGATTTACAACTTGCACGGTATTCCCGCGGGCCCAACTCAAATGAAGACTTACCTGATGCACCGATCTATGATGTTTCCAAACCGTTTGATGGAGGCCGCCTCTAAAGATTTGCTCGCCTTTACCGATGCTAGAGTGGAGTGGTGCAAGAGCATTGATGAGCTTCGCACTCATTTGGAAGTCAATATTCGCGACGCCGCTATCCTAAAACAGGCACACAAGGCTGGCCGTGGGAGTAAACCGGGAGAGAAAATTCATTTCCGTCGCATGATGTCCCATTATTGGGAGAACTTCAGCCCCTTCGCCCTTGACCTGGTTGGTGCGGTGATTCGCCAGGGGACCTTTGTCCAGAAGATGGACAACATCGACTGGCTGCATTCTCCCACTGTGATGGATACGGCCGAGCGTCTCATCAAGAAGTACGAAGTCTTTTTTGATATCATGCTCGCGAATCCAAGGAACATGGCAGTCCCCACATTGGACGTTGACCTGGCCTGGCACACCCATCAGTTACAGCCGCGTCGGTACTACCGGCATAGTATCCGTACTATGGGCGGCGGCCAACGCCGATTCATCGATCATGACGACAAAGTCGACGAGAACAAGCTTTCCGAGGCCTTTGAATGGACGACCAAGATGTACCGCCGAGCCACAAACGGTGGAATCTACAGCGAATGCACCTGCTGGTACTGCGAAGCTACCCGCGCGCCAGATCTCTACGATCGCCTTTTCAACCTAGGCTCGGCATCTCGTGCCCGTGACGCCGCAGACACGCTGCACGATCGCAATGATATCTCCTCTGATCCAGATAAGAACCCTCATATTTCGGCGCACAATGCCGTACGACCGGCCACGTTGGCAGCAGAGGATTATCGCGTCGGGACTCTTCAGCGAATCCGCCTGCATCAAAACTACGAGAAGTCTGTCCGCCGGGCTGAAAAGCGTGGCGTTTCTCGTTCTGAAGGAAAGAGGTCAAAGGATGGCGGTGTTGAGCCTTATTACTACACGCCATACGTCTGGGGTTATCCCATGATTGTACCTTATTACGGTCCATATATGTGCGACCCTGGCATCAGCGCAGGTTCATACCCGTGCAACCCGAGCTGCATGAATGTCAGTGCGGGTGGCGTTGGCAATTGTTGCTCGGGCACCTGTGGTGGAGGTGTTGCCGCTGGATCTTGTGGTGGATTTGGCTCTGCTGGCTGCGCTGGAGGAACAGGTGCCGGCTGCGGAGGTGGTGGTGGAGGGTGTGGAGGGGGAGGGGGAGGAGGAGGATGCGGTGGTGGTGGTGGTGGTGGTGGTGGCGGAGGAGGTGGAGGATGTGGAGGTGGTAAGTTTCATCGATTCGTATTCATCTGGGTATAATATGCTAACCAAAAACAGGTGGTGGTAGTTGATTATGCTGGCTTTCGAAATTATGAGAGATACCTTGATATGGCTTCGTCGGTTAACTTCGCGGCGTTGCTTTCAATTACTCGAGTTTGAGCGCCTCAGTTCTTGCTAGCTTTATACTTATCTAAATTACTTTGTTCTAGCATATTACTACTGAATTAATTTGAATTTGCTTCAGATATCTCTTCAAGTTTTACAGTATAGATTTGATACCCGGGTGTCACAAACAGGTCATTTTGCACCAATCAATACACCCGCGCCCGTACGACCAAAATTTGAAATCTGTAGCTTCCAAGGTTCTAGGCAGGCTTGCCTTGTCATGAGGTGTTTTTACCAAAAATAAAACCAAGCAATTCCAAACTTGAAGTACAACCCTGGAAATTTACAACAAAACAAGATTTGAAAAGTGATTTGATGCGGTTTGTTTTTAATCAACATGTTATGAACTTTCTAACGAGGGTATAATGGTCTGTCTAGACACAGTTACAAAACGCTTGCTACATAATGATGCACTTATTTCGTCGTTTCCGACTTCGTTCCCGGATGGTATGTTCGTTCCAATCCTCAATACGCCGCCGCCACTCTACATTCTCAGAGGGCGGTAGACTGGTTGGCTCTGTCGAGACTCGCCGGCGGAAGGATCTTTGTCGTTCCGGTATTTGTGCTTCGTCCTCCGCAGCTGAAATTTCCAATCCATTCCCACTTGGTTCTGGGATGTGGAGCAGATTCGGAGATGACACCGAGTATGGTAGGTAGGCTTCCCCGAACATGGTAGCTCCTAGTGAAGGCATAGGCATGATTGGTTCGCGGGTGGCCTCCTCGGCTGGATGAACTGCAAGTTGTGGAAGGGGCTGGAGATATGAATGTTGCCCTGTAATGATCGGAAGCATATGTCCTGCAGTCTGGGGCCGAGGCCAAGTGTTGACTGGGGAGCTCTCTGTGATAGTAGTTTGTTGCGGAGCCTGGGGTACAATGACTCCAGGAACATCGATACGGTCCTGGGCTGGACCGTCGACTGGAGATCCACTAGACTCTCGTCGAGCTCTTGCAGGGCGCATAGAAAGTGAACCTAGTCGTTGGAGGATGGCTGATTGTGGGCGTGGGCTATCCTGTGGGGCTGGTCGTGAAACACGGGCGGTTTGGGCTCTCTGTATTTGCTGGGATGCCGAGTCACCAGATTGAAGATTGTTACCCGATGTGCTACCAAGAAGGGTTTGCCGCAAATGGTCTGGCAAAGGTCCATCGGCATCACGCTTGTACGGGGGAGGCGGTGGTACCCAGTTGTCGGCATCACTTTCATGGGGTACATAACGGCGGTTGGGGACATTACGATACCGTGGGTCATATCTCCCCCGAGTTGAGGCTGCGGCTGTAGCAGCCCGGTGAAGTGTATCCTGGGAGCGAGGCAGTGTGTTGTCATATGGAATCTCTGGCACATTCCCCGCTGTGACTTCCTCGGGCGATGTGGGCACAGATAGACTGTTACGACGAAGGACTGGCACCAAGGTCTGGCTCGTAGACCGTGGATTCATTCGCGAAAGTCTGCGACCGAGGGCTACCGAGTCGGTCTCACCACGGTTCAAGCGTGTTCTCCTTCTTTCAAGCTCCACTTCCGTATCCAGGGATGAGTCTGGTTCCATCAGCATTTTTGCTTCTGTTTCTCCAACTTCAATATCAAGTTCGACTTCATCGCCATTGATAACCGAACGCTGAAAGTCTAGGACAAGCATGCGTCCGCCGTCCACGGGGACATCTTCCTCGCCAAATAGTTGGGGACGTACACCACCAGGTGCCACAGTGACCAACCGACGTCGGTAGGCCGTTTTCTCTGTTGAATGTACCCATTTTGCGGCTGTCATTCCGTGCATGTCGGTAACTTGACGACCACGAATCAATGCCTTAGGCTGTTGAATGATCTTGTGTAACTGCACTAAATTATCACGTGGAGGATACCGACCCTCATAATGATGGTCACCACTAAAACGGGTTTCGGTGCTATCATTAGGCTCAGGAGTCGAACTTGTTGAAGGAATATCAAGGCGTTTCGGTATGCCATAAATCCACACTTCCGAGTCTTCAAAACCCAACGCAGCAAGTTCACCAGCCTCATCTATTGTAGGAAGCATAATAGGCTGCATTTCTCGTGGCTCCTCTGCTAAAAATGGACTGGCAAAGTAGACGCCACTCATTCCAACATTATTAGTTTTGATTGCTCTGAAAGCCGCCAGTTGAATGTCGTATCCGAGGATCCAGCTATCATCAGATTCATCATGGCCATTGATCAAGCAGGCATGTGTGAAGCCGGGCGTTATTTCTGGGAAGAGAATCTGTGTTGTCCACATCCGCATTTGCACTTCTTGGGGCGTTGCGTCGATCCCCGGTTCGGTGTAAAACGGAGCTGTGATTGTCACAATGCCATCTAGTTCGGGGTCCACTGGCGATCCGAGTACCATGGAGCCATCTGGGGAGAATGAGATTGCATCAACTCGCGGGCAACGAGCCGCCCGGCGTTCTGTCGGCAGTGCTGCTTCCCCACGGAATGTACTTCGATACAGTCCCCAAAGGACAAAGCTAGTACACTTCCCGTGGGGGAGAAAATCAAGTCACGGGGCGCATCATTGAGTGCGATTGTCTGGATCAGTTTAACATTTTCATCCGAGAGCAAGTAGATGTTGATCTTGTGGGTAGATGACAGGACCGCAAGGAGAGAGCCATCATTGTGAATAGTAGCCCCCAAAGGTCGGCGACGGGTTTTCAATTCGTATTTTAAAGAAACCGAGTCGCCAGTCAAATCCAAGATCACAATACGGGATGAACTGATGCAGAGAACCAGCTGACCATTCTCCGAGAAAGAGAAACGAAATACTTCGCCTTGAGGGAAGGCAGTAGACGAGCTCATTGAGCTTGAAATTAAGCGGACTAGAGTTCGACGAGGCCGCAGAAATACGTCGAAGGCATTTCTTCTAATTTCTTCCAGAAATAGGCGCTTGAGGGTGGTCAGGCTGTCCGTGTCCGTCTCACCAGATGTGGGAGTCGCGCCCCGCGCCCAAGCAAAGGAGGGACAACGCGACAAATGATGTGTATACAGTGCCGGCGAGTCTGACGTTCGCCTCCATTGTCGCGTTAATAGAGATAGAGATGCAAAGGTATTCGCATCGGCGGCATAAAGAATGCTGGAGTGGTCAGATCGCGCATTCCACGTAGCAGCAACAGCAACAGCAACAACACAGCGCAGCCTTGGAGAACAAAGGGTCGAGATACTTACAGCTCGATTACTTTGGACGGCAGCCGGTCAAAGACGCCGGTCTCTCGTGGGGAAGAGGCATCCTCCTCCATGATCACCAGCGATCCACGACATGCGGAATTGGCGGCATTCGAGTTGAAGATGCCCTTTGGAGAGTGGCTGTGCGTCCCAACCTCCACATGACGCCGCTCGTCGATCGCTTGGATTCCTATAAATAGGAAATGCACGTGGAATGACTCAGCATCTCCAGTGTCATTCGGTCCTTGGATATGCAAATTTGCAAATACAGAGTTCAAATTCGCAAATCGGCCCAACTGCGGGAAGCTGCAAGTGCAAATTTGCACTTTTGGAATTTGCAGCTTCCAATTGGCAAATTGCAATTTCCCCTACGGTTGGCAGGCCCGATCCGACATCGCTAGATCCCCTTCCAGCTTCCAGACTCCCCTCTCTTCCACCTCTCTCTCCTCTTCTCTCTCTCTCTATTCGAACAAATCGACAGTCACTCACCATGCACTTTAACTCACCTTGACCCACGGTCGCTCGCATCTTTTCGCCCCCCGATCCCCCGATCGCTAATTACGCTTCGCAGTCGGCCGGGTACCCCTCATTTTGACAAACTAAGATCGGCCGACTCCGAAAACTCCCCGGGAACTTTTCCCCAGATTGTTCCTACATCCCCCTCCCCCAATTGTCGGCAGCTAGTACATACTTGGGTTGCGCATCATGTCGCCTGCAACCGTTCAAGTCAATACCTCTTCTAAATTGCCCTCGCCTGGGTTTAATGCCGGTGCGCGACCTTACCGATCCCACAAAGTTCGTGCCTGCGATCTCTGTCGCAAGCGCAAGTCCCGATGTACGGTTGACATCCCTGGTCAATCTTGCCTGCTGTGTCGTGTGCAGGGGGCCGATTGTCATTATCAGGAGGAACAAAACCAGGAGACTTCCTTGGTGTTGAGCACGTCAGAATCCAAGCCATGGCCTCCAGGACCATCCCCGGTCGATCCCATGCCAGGTCAGAAACGCAAGCGCAGTCCTGATCTCAATTCGCATCAGTCACCCATCGGACCTAGTCCACCGGGTACAACTTCGTCTTCAGGGCGGCGCAAAGACGAGGACCCCCATAATGAGTCAGTACTCATTGTCGGACCTATGGTGGCGGAGGACGCGCAGGTCATTGAGAAACACATGCCTCCTGAGCGGACCAGTCTCTCTGAGGAGCCCAGTAACAACCCATACAATATCTACTCGAGTGATCCTAGAAAGCCCGTCCTCTACACTACCATTTCCCGCCGGAGGAAAGGCATGCGGCGCGGAGTTCCTCCGGGCGAGAACCAGAAAGAGATTCTGGAGCAGATACTAGGTCCATTTAGACATGATCTTGTGCGACTGTAAGTGATAACAGATGGCAAAGCTCTCCTGCTAGGTTTTGGGCGCTGACTCTAATTTTTTTACCCTGCACCAGCTTCATCGACCGCTTCAATGTCGCTTTCCCCATTTTTGACGGCGAGTCATTCTGGGAGTCTTACATTACTGAGGGCTTGGAGGATCCGCCAGCTTCTTTACTCTGCCAAGTTTACTCCATGTCGCTTGTTTATTGGAAGCATACTCCGAAGCTTGCGTGCCACCCTAAGCCTGACGTCCGGTACGCCGTCAACATGACAGTCGCTGCATTACATGAGGAGTTTTCTGCACCTGGTCTTTCGACAATCAGTGCTGCGCTTATTGATTTGACGGGGCGACCAATTTTCTCCATGACTGGAAATGCTGTCAGCTGTGGACGGATGCTCTCACTTGCCAACTGTCTTGGATTGAACCGCGATCCAAGCCTGTGGAAGCTCTCTCAACAAGAGAAAGATCAGCGCGTTCGTCTTTGGTGGGGAGTGGTGATCCACGATCGATGGTAAGCAATATTGCACCTCAATTATTATCTGGTTTATTGTGTGCTAATATATTTTACAGGGGAAGTTTCGGTCACGGTGTCCCTCCACAGATTGCGAAGTCTCAATACGATGTACCCTTGCCTACTGTCGATAGCCTGGTGCCTCCTCATGCTCGTAGTAACGAGCGTGTGCGTGCCGCTCGCTGCCATATTGCTCTTTGCAGATTGACGGAAATCCTGGGCGAATTGCTTCCACTGGTCTATGGCCTGCAAGCAAAACTGGCGCGCGAGAGCTCGAAGAAACTGCGACAAATTCGAACTGATCTGGACCTATGGGAGGACTCTCTACCCGACTGGCTTCGGTCGCCGACACAAAATCGTGGGGATCAGCTGCATGCATCAAGCAGCTTGCAGCTTGCATTTTTGGCTGTTAAGATGCTCATCAGCCGAGTTGAGTTAAATGTGAGTACCTCAACGATAACTTTGATAGAGCTTAGGCTGACAATGCTTTCTACAGGAGGTCAACAATGCTGAAACAGAAAACCCCGAAGCTCGTCGTTATTTCCAGACAGAATGTCGCAAATCAGCCGAGGAGATTGTGCGGTTTATTTCATCCTTGCGCAAGGAGCACTTCAAGGAGTTCTGGCTCCCTTGTAAGGCACTCCAATATCTGTCCAATGAACCCTAATTTTTAAAACCCAGGAGCTAACAATTTCTTCAGACAGCGCTTTTCACCTGACCTCGACTGCAACTCTCCTCGTCCGATGCGCCCTGGAGACAAATGATACCGAAGTAGCCCGGTCCTGCCTCTCCAACGTTGAGACCCTCCGTACTGTCCTGCGCCGAGTACAAGAAGAAGAGGATTGGGAAGTGGCGGACATGTGCCTGGACCACTGTGAACACATCATGCACAGGCTCCCGGGGACTGGAGCCCCAATGGACCAAGATAGCATGGCTGCCTCGCTGGCCGATAACGGCCTGGTCAACCCAGCCGCGATCTCATTGCCCGAGACGCAAACCAACAATGATATTGTGGACGACATGATGTCTATCTCCAATACATTCGGAACGATGGATGGCTTCCCATTCGATATGACAGGCATCTGGGATGTCTCTGTTTTCCAAGATGTCAACCTGTCTTGAATCTTTCGATAAACCATGTTTTCGGTTCCTCCGGTTTTCTTCCAAGGTTTGGGGGTTTGGTAGGCGTGTACGCTATTGAGAATGACAAGCTACAAACAACGTATATATACCCTAGGGGTTTGACTTGGAACCCTGTCTATTCATTAATCCAGTCTATCAATCTGATTTTTTTGATTTTAAATTAAAACATCCGACTTATACTAAATTTTGTACATCGAGAAACAACAAGAGAATCGGACACCAAACGCTATTTTACAAGTTGTTCCGGTGAAATGGAATGATCAGAACAAACCCAAGAGACCATCTAATGCCCCGCCCTTGCCCATAAATGACAACAAATAAACAATTCGCAGCGATGAGGAGTTGGGAGAAACCAAAGGAAAGTGAGTAGGCTCTTTCAAGCAAGCTTACTCCTTGCTACCACCGGCGCCAAAGACACCGGTGAAGGAGCCCTTCATGCTGGCCATCTGCTCCTGGCGAGCCTTCTCCTCTTCGGCAGCCATCTCGGCAAGCCACTTCTCGCCGTTCTCGCGGATCTCACGGTCGATCATCTCGTAGTTCTTCTGGCCACGCTCGCGAATCTGATCCCACAGCATCTTGCCCTGGGCCAGACCCTCGGAGGGAGACACCTCACCATCCATGGAACGGCCGGACTTCAGGCCAAGAGCACCGGCAAGACTTCCCATAGAGATGGAAGGCTTCTTCTTCTTCTCCTCGGCAAGGTCGGCCTCGAAACGCTCACGCATAGCCTTCTCACGCTTGGCGAACTCGGCGGGGATAACGGTACCCTCGAAAGACTTCAGCACAGGGCGGACATCCTCCACACCCATACCGGCAAGGTACTCGAGGAAGGGAATGAGAGCGACAAGGGTCTTGTCCTGGGGGTCACCGGTCCACTTGTCCAGGACAACGGCGTTCTCGGGCTGCAGGCGGGCGTGCTCTTCCTTGGTATCGAGGAGAATGACCTTCGACAGGTCGCGGTTCAGGTATTCCAGATCCTAGTAAAATATGGTCAGCAAGATTGAAAGCTGCGATGCGCGCCAATTCGGACATACCTTAATATACTCGCCATCCTTATAACGGGTGGCTTCACGGAACAAGGGCCAGCGGATGATGCGGTAGGGGTCGAGCTTGCGGAGAACCTGGTCGGCCATCATGCTGGGCACGGTGGTGAAGAGAACAAGTTCGTAGTACTGGTTGAGGTAGCGAAGGAAGTAATCGACACCAGGGCGCTTCGCAACGCGCCATCCGTGCTCGCGGCTCCATTCGCTGTGAACGAGAAGGTCCTCCAGACTGAGCACCAGGGTATAGGGTTGGCGCATGGCAGGATCCTCGTCCGGAAGCAGCTTGGGGAAGGCAGGGTCCTTGTAGTAGCTGGTAAGATCATTGGTGCGAGCCTTGGCACGGTTGTACCAGAGACCCAGGCCCCATCCGGATGGTTGCTGAGGGTGAGCGCGCTCCTCCTCGTCGGATTCCCAGTTGCGGCCGAGATAACCCATTCCAGCGACACCGGCAGCCAGCATCACGGCGTACATGATATTGGCCATGCGGGCCTTGCGACGATCCATTGATGTTTCATATCCTCCTTTGGGGATATCACCACCGCCCCCTCGCTTCTCATCGCTATATTCCTCTGATGATGGGTCCTCGGTCAGGTTGAGTGATGACTTCTTAGAACGACCTTCGAGCTCTGCAAATAGTGTCGACGGAATACCCTGGGTGAGATCAGGGAGCGGCTTCGAGGGGATGTCTTCGGCTTCAGACTATAGGGGGGAAACGGATTAGAAAGGGAGCTCTATTTCAATTTGATGGAATTGCAATGTAGATAGGTGTCGGTAGCTCACGGGTTTGGCAGACTCCGCGTCAGTCTCGGGCTGAGCCTTGGTATCGAACTCGGGTTGTTCGGCGGTAGTTTGTGCTGTCTGGGTATTCTTTGTAGCCTTGCGCTTCTTGGTTTTGGCCTCCTGTGACTGCATAGACTCAGGGAGAGTGTATGGCGAACTGCCCTTGCCCTGAGCGTACCATCGGGGCCGCTGGGCAGACAGAGCCGAAGAGGCCCTGAAGGCAGAGGCGAGGACGTTGGGCCTCGTCAGAGGCAGAACGGCGCGACTCAGCATGACGGGAGGGTGAAATGGGAAAGTGATGGAAGAACAGGAAACAAAACTGTCCTGCTGGGTCTCTCGATCCTCGGGCTGGCGGGTCGAGTTTCCCGTAGAAAAGTCAGGCGCGTGGCTCGGGTGGCCTAGAGAGTCCTGTTGCGCAGTTTACAGTACGGGGTATAGAGTACATAGTTAACTAGAGAAGAGAGTAGAATACGATAGCTTTTGTCCTCTTGTAATATAGGATTCATTAAAGATTTTAAATCCAGCTCCCACTATAAAATATATTTCTAATTTCCAATTTCCAATTGAGTCTCATTTGAAAGGAAGTCAGATATATCCACTAGGTACTCCGTGCACGGTTACGTCAGTAGCTAACTAGGTTACTACTCGATTTGCATAAATGGCCACTATCGAGCACCGTAGCAGACCCGTTTTATGGCAATTCGCAGCGCGCAATTCTTCCCTTTCCCTCAGTTATGAAAGTCCACCCGGCAAATAATTTGACCCAACACGCCTTTTCTCTATGCGTGTTGGACTGAAATCGCTGGGGAGACCGAAAGAAGTTTCTTCTTTTCCCACATCCAAGAGCCGCAGCAAAGGCCTCCAGTGAAGCTACAGCTCCAATTGTGGGAAACAGTCCCCCCCTATATCTCTTACATTGTCTTCTCTCTGTTCAGGCCAAAGTGAATGGCAGATGAGGCTGAGTCTCATGTTACTATTCTTACTTGACTCCAATCTCCGCGAAGAATGCAATCATTCATGAAATTTGTCCTTCCATCGTTTTAGATCCCGTGCCGCGTACTTATAGACCTTTTTCGCCTCTTCAATTTTCCCTTCCCGTCAACATGGCCCCCAAGAAAGTGCGAAAGCCTGTTGAGGAACCTGAGCCAGAGTTGGAGCTTGAGCCTGAGCCCGAACCGCAACGAGGACCATTCCCTTTCCTCGAATTGCCATCCGAAATTCGCCTGCGCGTTTACCATTTCGTTCTCTTCACACCAACCCGGAAGAGTAGTGCGAAGAAAAATGCAGGCACCGTCGGCTCCTCCGCCAAGAAGAGCAAGCATGTCGCCCCAACCTCGCATCGTATAGCGCTGTTTCTTACCTCACATCGCATTCACAATGAGGCCAGTCATATGTTCTATTCGTCCCAAATATTCCGACTCTTCCCTGTGCAGGACTTTTCCCGCCGACCGACCGTTCGCGCCCTTCCACGTCGCCACCGGCCGTCTGTCACCACAATAGAGTTGATTCTGGGCAATAGTTGGACCGCACCACCGCGATCGTGGGTTGTAAACCAGGGACTTGGTTTGCACGATATGGCTCTCACGCGCACACTGAAGATTTTCATAGAGTGTGACCCTTCGCAGCCGGTTTTCGAGGGGTTCCGCATCTCGAAGGAGTACTATACAGAGTTTGCGGGGAATTTAATGCGGCAAATTCTAGAGCGCCTGCCTGCTCTCGTTCAGGTGGAGTTTGATGGGTATCCCTCTGTGCGCAAGACGGGTGATCTCATGGTACGGTTGCTGGACGAGGCGCAGATGGCAAACAAGAAGGTCCTGTGGGGCCCGGAGAGGGGCTGGACAGACACCGCGGACAACTATGTCCCATATGGTACAGAAGCACAAGATCCAGCAGACGCTGCCATTGATGGTTTGCGGTCCAGTGTACCGCTCTGTGTTGACACTTTGACAACCACCCTCCAAGCCGTCAGACTGGAGACATGAGGCCCATTGGCACTTCACTTGATACGAAACTTGGAATCGGTGTTGGACGTGATATGATTTTGAATATACCAGATATACATTGCGCGGCGTTGATAGAGTGGCTCGAGCTCAATATCACTCATCTTTGATCCACATCTAGAGGATCTACGATTTAGGGATTTTACATAGGTACGAATTTGCCAGGTTTACCTTTTGTTTAGAGAGTAGATTCCTCATTCTTCGCATTAAGTATATATGGATCTTTTGAGAAGAAGAAAGCAAATATTCGTAATTAGAGGACTTAGGTTTCAAATACTTCTATCTCTCTAGAGCTCCTCATCCACATCCATGTTGGCACCGTTGGCGCCTTCTTTCGAGCTTGATTGCCGGGCTACTGAAGCTTCCTTATCAATCATTTGGCGAGACACAGCGACGATGTTGTCCTCGATCAATTGCTGGCTCACGTCCTCAATGTCTAAATGATAAGTTTAGCATATCAACCTAAATTTCAATGGGTATGGATAGCACATACGCTTCTTGGGGTCGACCTTGCCGACGTATCGTGTCTTCAGTTGATCCTTGGTCAGCTCTGTCTCTTCCTTCACCCGCTTCTCGTAGCCCTCGGCAAGGCTGACGAGCTGCTTCATCTGCTCCACGTTGTGATGACCGTCTTCGTGGAAGTCGTTCATTTGCAGAGCCTCAGTCCACACGTGTTTGTGCAAGTTCATCAGCATATTCTCCTCCAGGCCGGTCTTTCGGTAGTTGATTCCAATGCTATAGTAGTGACGGTTCAGGCCGTGAATAAGGGCCTGGATTGAAGGCTTGTTGAGGTGACCCAAGTTAGAGGTTGTTTGACGGGGCTCCTGTCCCATGACAACGGTCTGTGGCTGAATCAGGCGGAAGGCGTCAATAACAACCTTGCCCTTCACCGACTGGATGGGATCCACGACGACGGCCACTGCGCGGGGGGTGAGCTGCTCGAAGGATTGCTGGGTGTTGATATCGACGGATGAAAGCCAGCAACCGAAACCAGGGTGAGAGTGATACCATCCAACGACAGTCTCTGGCCTATTGTGTGTTATCATGATTAGCACACTTCTCCCAGTGTCTGCGAATGCAAATTATAGAACTTACCGTCCCGTTTGTCTGAGCATCTCCATCATCTTGGTTTGGAACACGGGATCCACAGCCTCAACACTGACACCGGTACCACTCTGGGGCATGGCAAAGACATCCACAACGCGGACTGTGTATTCATCGACAAATTCACCAAGCATCAGACCCATAACTTCCATCGGAACACCCGCGCGGCCGTGTCGCAACATCTTCAGCAGGGCCAGAGAGGAAATGTGAACGGTCTCGGAGTTATCAATCAGGTTCGGGGTGTCCTAGAAGAGGATTGCGAGTTAGAATCGACATTGCTCGATGATGGCATACAGTGCAGCTCTTCCAGCGAACACCGCAGCTTCGAAAGGCGGACACATAGCGAGGAGCCACGGCTTTTGATCACTTACACCACCGGGGGCGGCGCTTCCCATTCCCATGCCCTGTGCGGCCTGCAGCATTCTGTTGAGACGGTCCATGATGGCTGATCACAATGAGTGGAAGGGTGTAGAAGGAGTGATGAGAGTGATAGCTTCCTAGATGGAAAGCTCCCAAAAGGCCGATCGGTCTCTGTCGAACAGGATTTGTCACGGAAGAGCTGCGATAAGATGCAATGGTATATTTGCAGGCAAGTAAATGGGTTACTTTAGCAACCTTGAAGACTGATGTTGGAGGGCTCTTGTTGATGCTTGGTCAGAGAGCCATTCCGGCTGGGAGCTCGACTGACGAAGGCGGTCTGGGTGATTTGCCATCACCCTTCCCACGCGGCGATGATTCTCTCAAGCCTCTCCCGTCTTGATTCAGTGCGCCATGGGCTTGTCGGGACCTGTTTACCTCTGTGTCTAGATATTCTGACAGTCATTGCGGTGGTGCTTGGTATATTAGTGCCTTGCCCCTCCCGTGTCTCGATTCCCCTACTTCCCAACGCCCTCTCCTAACCGCATACTTCCCATCTTCCTATCTCTCGATTGACAACTTCCCTTCCCCGAGTGCCCTCCAGGGAAAGGCCAAGCTCGCCTTGCTCAATCGCCAAGGATGGCTGTTGAACCGCTTTCTAATGGCGTTGGTGCCACCAACAAGAAGGTCGCCTACTTCTACGACTCTGATGTCGGCAACTATGCCTACGTTTCTGGTCACCCTATGAAGCCGCACCGTATACGCATGACCCACAGCTTGGTCATGAACTATGGACTCTACAAGAAGATGGAGATTTATGTGAGATTCCATGAACAATTCCGATTGAAAATGGGAATAAGAATACCAATGCTGATACGAAACTCCGGCAGCGTGCCAAACCAGCCTCCAAATACGAAATGACGCAGTTCCATACCGATGAATATATTGACTTCTTGTCCAAGGTTACGCCGGATAATATGGATCAGTTTTCAAAGGAACAAAGCCGGTACAATGTCGGTGATGATTGCCCTGTATTCGACGGTCTCTTTGAATTCTGCGGTATCAGCGCTGGTGGCAGTATGGAGGGCGCGGCGCGTTTGAATCGCAACAAATGTGACGTCGCCGTCAACTGGGCTGGTGGTCTGCACCACGCTAAAAAGAGCGAAGCTAGTGGCTTTTGCTACGTGAATGGTGAGATTTACGAAATTCTTCTGAGGATTCACCCGTGTATTAACGACTATTAGACATTGTTCTCGGCATTCTAGAACTTTTGCGTTTCAAGCAGCGAGTCTTGTATGTCGACATTGATGTGCATCACGGTGATGGTGTTGAAGAGGCCTTTTACACGACAGATCGTGTGATGACTGTATCTTTCCACAAGTACGGCGAGTACTTCCCCGGTACAGGTGAGCTGCGTGATATTGGTGTGGGTAATGGAAAGTATTATGCCGTCAACTTCCCTCTTAGAGACGGTATCAACGATCTCTCCTATAAGAGCATCTTTGAGCCTGTGATCAAGAGTGTGATGGAATGGTACCGCCCCGAGGCTGTTGTACTGCAGTGCGGAGGTGATAGTTTGTCTGGTGATCGCTTGGGTTGTTTCAATCTGAGTATGCGCGGCCATGCCAATTGTGTCAACTTTATTAAAAGTTTTGATCTTCCCACCATGATCCTTGGCGGTGGTGGTTACACGATGCGCAACGTTGCGCGTACCTGGGCTTTTGAAACCGGTATCCTGGTCGGAGACAGCCTGGGCTCCGACTTGCCATACAATGACTACTACGAGGTACAGTTCCCTGCTCATCTGAACACTGGATCTCATGTATTAACAAGGACTCTAGTACTTTGCTCCCGATTATGAGCTTGATGTTCGTCCCTCAAACATGGACAATGCCAACACCAAGGACTACCTCGACAAGATTCGTAGCCAGGTTGTTGAAAATCTCAAACGCACCGCATTCGCACCTTCCGTTCAGATGACTGATGTTCCTCGTAACCCGCTTCTCGAGGGCATGGACGATGATGCTGATGACATCCTTGACGACCTGGATGAGGATGAGAACAAGGACAAGCGATTCACTCAACGTCGTTTCGACCAGTATGTTGAGAAACCTGGAGAACTTAGTGAAAGTGAGGACGAGGAAGAGAATGCCGCCAATGGCGTTCGTCGCCAACCTGGAGCCATTCGCCGTCGAAACATCACCAACTACAGGGATCTCGATCCGGCAGATTCCGGTCTCGACAGCGGCATGGCGACTCCAGCAAATGCCTCGTCTGTTGCCGATGGCGACCTGGATGTTGGTTTGGATACCAAGATGACCGACGCCCCCCGAACAGAACCTGATGTGTCAGCCACGGCATCAAATGATCAAGATACCCCAGCCGATGTCGACCAAATTCTTCTTGAGGCTGAAGAGAAGGATGCCTCCGCCGCTGCCTCCTGGCAGCCTTCCCCTCCTCAGAATGACGAAGATACAGCCATGGAGGATGCTGCCCCGGCTCCCGAGGCTGAACAGTCTGGACCTACGACTGAGGCCCAGGAAGAAAAGAGGCCAGAGACATCACCTGGAGCCGAGGGCTCGACCAACACTCCTCTATCTCCTCAGGGTCAGTCTGCCACGAACGAGCCGTCTACGTCTGTACCGGACAAGGAGGGTGAAGGACAGGAGTCTGCGCCCGCTGAGGGCTCGGAAGCCAAGGCTACAGCTACAGAGTCTACTGATGAGCCCACCGCAAAGAAGGAGGAGTAAACGGCTGCAACTCCAGAAACAATATCGGGTCTGGCGTAATGGGAAATGGGAAGAAAGGTGTTATTGGTTTGGCAGCATGTTCGCATCTTATTCGACCATAGGGGGCGGGATGTTCTCTGCACGGCTAAACGGCGAGGCGGATGTTTCACGGCTCGAAGGTCATTTCTATTACTTTTCTTGTGGTTCAATTTGTCAAAACAGAAAGACCATATGAAATACTACTTCTCATCTGTGAATTTGCATTCGTCTTGGTTGAGTTGATATGCCTGCGTCCTATGTGTTTAGTTTTTATTTTTAAACTGATAACCTTCTTTCTACTGCGAATCACTGCGAATGAAATATGTACAATTGAGCGATTTAAGTTCAAGTTCTTCTCCTGCCCCCTAGTAGTTGATTCAATCAGCAGTACTGTCCGGAGTTGTAGATATCTAGTTACTCTTGATCATTTCACGGCGCCGCCTTTGAAAACCGGGATCCTAGATGATGAAACTTGGCTCATAGTTTCAGAGCTATGTATATGATGTCAGCTTCAAGGTGGTGATTTTGCTTTACCTCCGAAAACCCCATGAACTAGCCATTCATTCCAAGGTTGACCTTCCAGGGCCTGGCGAATATAGTTACTAGTCACGTGATGATAACCCACTTAGGTCAGCAATTCAAACTAGTCCCTAAATAGGCTAGCGCTAGGGCAACCCAATCCACCAATGCGGCGCCAAGATTTTACGCACCGCACCCGCACACTAAGCGAGAAAGAAAGCACCGTGGATTCCTGACCTTCGTCTGCCTTCTTGCCAACCCACTTCGACTTCACTCGACAACCCCGTGTGATACTCGCCATCATGTCTACCAGAGGGTAAGTCTACTCGCTCTATACCCAGATAAACGAAAAAGAGAAATATGGGAGGAATATCCGACGATCTCGACGACCGAATGTGCACATTGAATGTTCATATTGAATGTTGAACATCTCGAGCGGGGAGGACGAAACGGACAACATGGAACTGAGACATACAGTCGGAATGAAAGAATCAGCCCAGCTAACGGTTATCGCATTACAGTCGTGCCGGTGCCTCGGGCAACAAGCTCAAGATGACCCTCGGTCTGCCAACGTAAGAATTTCCCACACAGTCGTGTCCCTCTCGTCCAGTGAAGCTTTCGATCAACGCCTTTCGCCAACTACTCCGGTACTTTCAATCTGTGTCGACAATCTTGGAAAATGGAAACGCGGAAGGAAGGAAGAAATCTTCGACAAACGAAACATACGACATCATTCGGAATCACCACTGCAAATATCAGCACTACATGGAAGAATCGAAAAGCATTACTTGGACGAGAGAACTGGACACGACGAAATTGATGCGCTTTACGAGAGAGAGATTACGGAAATACTAACGGTCGTCTTCGATTAGTGGCGCCGTGATGAACTGCTGTGACAACTCCGGTGCTCGCAACCTGTACATCATCGCCGTCGCCGGTACCGGTGCCCGCCTGAACCGTCTGCCCGCTGCCGGTGTCGGTGACATGGTCATGGCCACCGTCAAGAAGGGTAAGCCCGAGCTGCGCAAGAAGGTCATGCCCGCCGTTGTCGTCCGTCAGAGCAAGCCCTGGCGCCGCCCCGACGGTATCTTCCTGTACTTCGAGGACAATGCCGGTGTTATCGTCAACAACAAGGGTGAGATGAAGGGATCCGCCATTACCGGCCCCGTCGGTAAGGAGGCTGCTGAGCTCTGGCCCGTGAGTCTTCCCCCCAAACCCCGCATCAGATGTGCATGGCACGTTTGGCAGGCAATCTTGATACTAACCCATGTCACAGCGTATTGCTTCCAACTCCGGTGTCGTCATGTAAAGAGAGGAAACCGAATTAAAACAAAAATCAACGATACCATACCTGAAACTCCTTGGGACCTGGGAACACGGGGTGCATACGAGACATATTGTGGAAGCAAAAGGGAGGGTGGTCCACTGACGAGACGAATTCACCTGTGTTATTTCGAGCCGGTTTTCCTCCCATTCGTGTTTTTCTCTTTGAACACTGGCGATCTTCGGAAGTACTTGAAAAATACAACTTTTCATGAAAACATCCAAACGCTTTTCCTCTCTGTTGTATGTGATATAGGAGTTTTGGAGTATGGATTCTGCTACCTATCATGGCATCTTCATATTCTTTTACTCAGCCTAGACTCCCAGGGATATAGGCAGATCTACAACATCTGATCCCCTTGTGACTGTCATGGGTTTGTAGTTGGTTTTGTGTAAATTAGCAATGTCTACTTGAGGATTGCTTATAGCTGGCTTGCGTGTGCGATCAGCTATGATATTCTCATCATGAAATTCCTTGCCGCAATCTTTAAATCCAAGGTCACTGCCCGTTGTTACTATTAGTAGATTCTGTCTGGTTGTTACTGTCAAGTGAAAGGGAAACAATTTATTTGCAATACCCGAAGCTAAATTTACTGGTGGAACCCTATGCTATTGTACAATAAATAAGCAGTTTATCAAGCTATCACTCCGTCGTCTTTTCCTGCTTGGGTATCTTTTCCGCATGACTCTGACCCTTCTTAATCGGACTTGAGTTCTTTTGCACTCCATCCTTCGTTGACACTTCTGCGGGTCCAACCAATCGGAGCACCACCCAGAGCAAACTGACAATCAACGTGACGAGAGCAAGAACATGCACAGCCCACCAAATATGCTGTACACCGGCAGGGCACATCGTGATCTCGTAGTCCCATTCGCCCGCATCAACATCGAACCAAGCCGACAGAAGTCCAGCGTTTCCACCAAATTCGCCCATCATCGACCGAAGTGTAACTTCACGGATAGATGGAGTTTCGGACTGCACATTGGACTCGGTATATCTCTTTGCAGCCCACTTCCAGCTTTGCGAGGGGGGTACCACCGGAAGTGCCCTCTTCCTGTTTCTCCTCTTCTACTTCCTTGGTGTGATTGACGAAATGGACGGCATCACAGCCGGTGTGGTCATGGCCCGTAAGAATGAGTCCTTTCCGACCCTGGCCACCACCAAAGGCATTATCATTACCAGTCATGCCGAAGATGCCCTCCAAAATCCCCGATGCACTGATAAAGTCACTCAAATGGTTCTGCTCCCTCAATCCACCTTCCTTCCAGCGCGGAATGCCATCAGGACCCTCCTCGTCATCATCTTCATGGAACGTAAAATACGGCCCGTCGGTACACACTCCTTCCTCCTTGTGCAAAGGCAAGTGTGTGAGGAGCAGGGTAAACGTAGACCGATCTTCAACCGGGTAAAGGCGCTTGCTAATAAGATCGTTGAGATAATTGTAACTATGCGACTGAGCGGCCTCAGACAACGCCGGCGTATCGAATATAAGGGTGTTGAGGTTAATCAAGTGCAGAGTCGGAGTAATAACCGACTTATCAGTCTCAGCAGCAACCACCGACCCACCAGACCCCGGATCAATGGGAGGATGCTGGAAGCGAATGTCCCAATTGGCACGGCCAAACTCGCGCTCAAAACGCTCCATCCGCGCCTCGCTAGCATCACCTGCATAGCCAATATCGTGATTTCCCGCGATATTGATCACTCGTCTAGGCCAGGCCGGGTCGGAGTTCGGTCCCAGGGGCTCGAGGTCCTGCTTCTCGGCGATGGCACCCTCAGTAGCCCCCGTTCTCGTGATCTTGTCGTCTACCCTTTCTCCGCCGCGGAAAACGCGAGTCCAGTAGCGTTCGCTGCGCCAGGAGAATTCGTCATCGTCGATCCATTGGCTTCCCAGAAGATCTCCCAGTACGGTCGTATGTGTGGGTCGAGTCCACCAAAACAGTGTGCGGTAGATGTGCGCGAGATAGTAGTCGTTACCCAAAAGGTCGACGCGCTTTTGAACTGCCCGAAGTGACCGTGGGACATCCTCGCTTATAAGGTCTCGTAGCCCTGCGGTGAAACTGGAGAGAACCTCCGAGTTCAGGAGATACCTTGGGAAGGGCGCAGTAGCCGAGGCATCCTCCACTGCATCCTGAACATCCTGCCAATGTTTGCGTGCCCGCGCGGCTAGTTTCCACTCCGGCAAAGGCAGAGACGTGTCTCCCTCGAGCTGCGGGTCTGCGAGGACTAGGAGTCGGAAGATTGCTGGCTGGGTGTTCACCGCGGAGTCTGGGGCTCGGAGATGTTGTAGGAAGGTGTTGGCGGAGGGGTTCTGTCGCAATGGCTCGAGGAAAGATCGATCTCCTGCTGTTGGCGACTTTGATCGAGGTAGGGGGAACGCACAGCCATTGAAGACTGGGTAAAGATAGAGGTAGACTGTAGCGGAGAGGGCAAGCGGAAGCAGCAGCGCAAGAACGCGGGAAAGGAGCGAACGGAGGAACATGAGGGTCAGGGTTTTAGAAATAATCTTATGGGGAGAAAATATACATCGTAACAAATATATAGAAGAATAACAGAGCGCGTTGTGGATGGTGAAGGGCAAAAATTCGGTGCCCTGGAGGGGGGTAAACAGCGAAGATCACGCCGCGCCCCAGCACAAGGCAAGGGTGCTCCCAAACTATGTCATCCGAGGCTATCACGCCAGAAATAGTAACAGAGTACCAAATGAAACCTGACCTGGTATAACTCCAGGCGAGATATTTTTTGAAAGAAAATTTTACATTCTACCGGGCTACCTTAATCAAAGAGTCGAATAGTAACCTTGAAACCTACATCAATATCGTTATCTTATCGTTTTCTTTGCTAATGGTTGTCTAAAGGAGCGTACTAGTACTGACTGCCCACCTGGGCAGGTGATGAACCGTAGAGAGTTTCTATACTACTACCTAGGTACTATATACTATATACTAACTTGAACCAGGAAGCTTTTGAACTGAACCTCCAGGGCTGACCTACGTAGGTAATGATTGCATATCGCCCTAATTTGCACGCTCTTGTACTACTGCTACTACTACTACTACTACTACTACTACTACTACTACTACTACTACTACTACTACTACTACTACTACTACTACTGTCCTGAGTAGTAGTATACACATTGATCTAAAATTAAGTTCACGGGTGAAGATAATGCAGTAGACATTAAGCTATGGCGATTCATAGTTGTTCTCATGTCTCAATTATATCTTGAGAAATCAATACCCAGGCAAAATGAATAATAGCTGGCACTTCATCCAGAATGGGAATCTGAAAAAAAACAAAAAAAAAAACAAAACGAAACGAAAGCCAGGGACGACTGTGCTAGAAAACTTTGGATCAGTTGATTGGGCATTCAAGTTGCCTGTCCGTACTTTTCAAACCCCGATATATTCATGTATTCTTCCGGATCTCTGTAGCAGCTGATCAGTCGAGTCTCATAGACAGAGACCGACGCAGCTGGTTTTGGCCGGTGCTTCTTGTATATTTCGAACTGATTGAGTATATAACAGCCGCCTTTTGGATAAGTCTTGAACTGAGGCCATAATAGTTGAGGACATAATCTATCAAGGTGACAAAAATATCAACCGCACCACCAGCCTTAAGATCACTGGGATTACTCCTGTAGAAGGAGTACGTTCGAGTTGCGGGTCACCCGCACCTACCAAATCAACCCTCAGAAATGCGAGTGAAAGAAGAACAACCGAGTCTTTCGTCAGATACTCAAGCTCCTGAATACTCATGGAGAGCCCGAGAAATAGATGGATTAGATTTGGGCAATAACGGCCCAAAGCAACAAGGGACTTCACCGCCAATCCTGGTCTGAAATATATATGTTCAAACATCAAGCTTTCCATGTTTCTGCAATGCGATGCAATCACCTCGATTGTATGATCTCCAAAGTCTGTATCGGAATGTTGGGCTATCCACTCCAGTTTCAGAACACGGAGTAAAGGACACCCTCGAGCTAAATCGATGAGATCGCGGGATGAAACGAAGTTATTCCAAGGATTGAAATTGACTTCTTCAAGCTTTGAACAAGTACGAAACCAGCCCAGAGGCCCCGAGAGACGAGGTGATGGGGGTATGTTGGCCCTAAAATGTCCAGTCCTTTGATCAATTAGGTGTCCATCCGGGGTGTCGGACCCAAGGCATTCATCTCGAAAGCTAGTGAATTTAATCGACATCAACGCAGGTAGCTTTGGGGCTAGGTATTTCAAAATATCATCCTGTGCATGGATACAGAGATACTTCAAGAACGGAAGAGTTTGGAGCTCGTTGTAATCATCGAATCCTCGAAGAAAGGCCCTTTGGAAGTCTCTGGCGCTTGTATTGAGTACTTCTAGTTTACTTCGACGGAAAATGACTGGGAAGAAATTCTGGGCAAGGTCGTCACCCATACACCTCATATAAGAGAACTCTATATGGGTTTTATGGGGCATTTTGTTGAGGACGTGGAGAAATTTGCAGGTTATAAGTAGCCCCCACGGCGAAGTGCCGTACTTGGTACCAGTAATAATATCAAACTTCCTCAGGGATTTACACTCCTAAGCAAGAATGGGTTTCAATAAATTGGAAGATAAGCTTGTCGAGGGTACTCACCAGCAACTTATCGGCGAATCTCCTTGACCAAAACCCCTCATAGATTTGAAGGGCTACTAGGTTGGACGAAAGAAACGTTCCAAGAGTCTCTTCGCCAAATCTCGTGTTATAGCAATCTATCTGAGTGGATTTTGGCTTTGGAAACGAGAATTGCGACATATTTTCCTCGGAAGAGAAGTACGGTGCTATCGACAACTTCGATAATTACTCGCTTATGCTTTTTTTCCTCTGATAACCCCAAAGACTAAGATATTTAGTCTTGCTAGTGTACCTAACCATGGTGACCCCCAGGAAGTTAGACATAGAAGGCGATAGAAATAGGTTGTATTGGCCTCGAGCATAGCTTACCACTGCTGGCGTTCTGGACACTTGGATGTAGATCTTGCCAATGATTCAAGAAGCGAGAATGGGACGGGCTGGGTCCGACCCCCCGCCAAAGTTACTTTTTCATATCAGCTTCGTGTATTTCTCCACGAGGGGATAGTAGACATAGATTCCGCAAGAGCTTCACAAGACCAGCGAGAATTCACCAGCCCTGCCTGGATTAGAGAAAGTGGCTCAAGGAAGCAGAGAATAATTGCCAGGATCTTAAGGATCTCCAGAGCATGCCTTGAGCGCGCCATTTCCAATACACAGCCTGCTGGTATTTTGGTATTTGACGTGAGGGGTTTGAATATTTAGAGGGAGATGGGGATGTGGAAGGTGGGAATTCATGGGTGGAGGACGCCTTCAAGCCTTTTGTACTTGTACATGCTGAGTCGGGCTGTGGATGTTAATGATACAATAATTCCTATTGGGAGTTTAGACCAAGGGAGAGAAAAGACCAGGGGGGTTCATTTTACTTTCAAACTTCGATTCAAGGAATGGCCTCGGTCTGAAAGAGTGATATGCAAGTCTTCTTTCATAGTATTACACACTCCCTCAGTATCATTGGATATTAGTTATTCCATTCAAGCCGTTGGGCTAGGAAGATGAATCCCGGAGAGAAAGGGGATAGAGAGCTTCCAGCGTATCAATGTTTGGCAGCCATCATCCATGGTTCCTCCCTACTTCTTCCACCACCTCTCAGCACATATCACACCATTCATATTGCTTTATTCCATTTTCTCCATACATTCTCTACAATAGAAAGAGTTGAGGGTACGGAGGTGCGCAAGGGTCATACTAGTAACCAATAAATTCAGATCTAACCCTACTGAAAATCCAAATGCATCATGTATTTGAAAGCCGGGTGATTATAATTATCTACAACTCGTAAGAATCAACTCGTCCCCAAAGTCTAGCTGGGAAAAAAAAAAGCCCAAAATCAGATGAAGCAACGACTGATTCAGTCCTCCAAAAAGCCAAACTCATCAAACACACACACAGCCCACATCAACCCTTCGTGTCCACATAACAAACAAGAGCTGGCCAAGGCCAGGAAAGAATGGAACAGAAGTCGGTACGAGGGGTATATCACATCAAACGCCAAACGATCGGGGGGGATTGTAAACGGACCAAAAGTAAGCAATAAAAAAGATGAGAAGAAAAAGAAGAGGTGGAAGAAGATTAGTCGCAGTGGGTTTCTCAAAATTAGAGGTCCCTCAGCCAGAATTGTCGTAGTAGTAGTGTCATGGCAAATCAAGAAGACTACTGCGATTCCATCTTAGCCAAGGGACTAGGAAGAAGGGAGATATTTCCAGTGTCGATTTCTCCGAGAGGGTTGGACATGGGCCGATCGTTGGCCGTTGGCGTGTTGTCTTGTATGTCCGCCTTCGCATCGACAAACGAACTGGATTCGGTTGATGGCGGTTTGGCCAAATTCAAGCCTTCAATCCGAAGTCCGTGCTCTTCTTCGTCTTCCTCTTCGATTAACTCATCGGGAAGACGGTCGGACTCCGGACCGGACGCATTGGCCATCAAGGCGGGTGGGCGTTGGTTCATCAGCCGGGCTTGTTTCAAACTGATTGTCTTTTGTTTGTTGGTACTCTCTGCCACTTGAGACAAATCACGTTCGATAGTAGCCTTCATCAGGGCCGCCATCCACAAGCGACCTTCTTGGACATTATCAACCTGGAAGTAGTGGGTGGTGGGTTTGGTGAATTGGACAGTTCGTGAGTTACCCGACTTTGGCGGCACGAGCTTGAAGAAGAAAGGTCCGCTTCCTTCCTTGCCAGCAAGCGAGGCAAGGACTGCAGGAGTGGTGAGTTTGGAAGCTTCGCTAGCGTTCGCATTGGCGGGTTGCGAGGTGGAGCCGGTTACTGTGGCATGCAGCGCGATTATAGGATCATTATCTGCCCGCAGCACACGATGGGCTGTAATATCGATGAGACCTCGCTCTTCAGTGTCTTCCTCGGAGTAGTAGTAGGATAGACGGCGACCACGCAGCACAAAAAGTCGAGGCTTCCATGTTGTCATGAGATTGGATGATCTCTTCTTCATCCATCCGCTGTAGTCGCAGCCGTCCATCTGCTCCTTTGGCGCCTTCTTCTCTAGGCCACGGGTATATGCACTAGTGTCCTTTTTGGATTTGACTGTTCGGGGGCGATTAATCATGCCGGGATTTTCAGCAGCTTTACCTGACCCGTCTGTACTGTGGCGTTCGGAGCTCTTAGACGTTGCCGAAGGAGTTGTAGATCCAGTGCGACCAGACGTAGGGTCGTAGTCACGGGGCGAGACTGGAGCTGAGCTATCGGTGCTACCCTTCCCAACAACATCAGAAATAGCGCGAAGCCCAACGGCTCGTCGAACTCTTTGACCTGCACCGCCGATTTTCGGGAGAGTGAATGGCGAGGCACGTGCAGAACTGTCCGAATCACTACCCTTCTTCATGAAGGGACCTAGGCTTGAAAAGAAACCGGTCTTGCTATCCTGGGAATCATTACCGCTTCGCTCAGAGACACGTGTACTCAAGCTTCTAAAACGACTCTTTGGTGGGGTGCCGTGATAATTCTCGGCCGCAGTAGAGACATGCCTAGCTGCATCACGTATAGAGTCCACGCTGGCGATGCGCGATTGACGTTTGCCAGTTGTCTTGGCGACCCTGTCATCCGCAGCGTAGCTTGACTTCCGGGAATGGCTGATGCTTCCGCTGGCGGATGTCCGCTTCTGTAGAACGCGTCGATTTCGACGGGAATCCACCTCAGTTCCGGAGAAGTAGCCTCGATCAAGGTCATCCATGTGCTCAGGCGTGTTTGGCTCTGATTCCGTAGCGGCGAACTGTGGTCCGCGGTACGCTGTAGTACCAAGTGAGGTCCCTGGGCGAGTAGGTAGGCCATGACCCCCATTGTTGAGGGTCCAAGCTCGATCAAATGATGGCTTTTTCTTATGGCCATTCATGGTGGAGTCAGGAGGGACACGATGAGTTGTGTCGATGGAAGAATGTCTTCGTGTGTGGTTGAGATCACGGATTGAGGCTGCAGAAATTCGCCTTGGTGAATCATGGCCGTAGGGAGGAGTGTGGGGTGTGACAGGAGAGCTAGCATTGCTGGCTAGTCTTGGGTGTTGGCCAGGGACAGCGGAAACTCGGGGGTAGCCTGCGCCAGTCTTCTCCGACACGGTCGGGATGCGTGGCAAGAAGGGCCCCGTATGACCGGCACGAGACAGAGATCGTTCTTCGGGACCATTGGAGAAGCCGGCGACGGAAGCTCTTGTGGGGGCCTGAGTCTGGGGTTGTTTCAGACCCCGGACTTCTTCTTGAAATGCCTTGACCTTATGCCAGGTCTTGAGTCGTTTACCCATAACACCAAAGTCGAACTCTTTCATGAAAATGAAATCTTGGTCCATATCAAGTAGCACATCACCTGTGATTTCTTGTTCCTCGAAAATCTCGCAGTGTCTGGGATCCATTCCGAGCTCTCGCATTTGCTTGGCGGTTTCAGTCTGATTCCATTGTCGAACCTGTTCCTCAGTGGGGCCGTCACCTTCTTCCTCATCCGTCTCATTCCCATTGATGTATGAGATTCGATGGCTGAAATGGCTACTGTATTCACTGCCCGAGTCATTGATCGTTTTTGCGTCTTGGGTCGAAACGCTATGACGGGGGGTGTTCATATCGGTGATGTGCTCGTCGATGACGCTCAAAGTTTCATTCATCACGGGGCTCTCCTCGCCATTGGCATGGCTATCAATGGATCGTCGGAATGTTTGCTGGATCTCCGCCAATAGACTTGGTCGGGGCAATGGAGAGGAAGCCGATCGCTGTTGTTGGGGAGAGTCCACCGATTCATAGACATCGGAGGTGCTTGCATGGCGTGACGCCTGGGGCGTTGTTTGTTCGCTGCCGGCTGAGACGAAAGAAGACTCCACTGGTGTTGACGGTTCGATTTGTGCAGGCGACTCGGTGTTTTCGGAAGCGATCACGCCCTGGGGGGAAGGGTTGGTATTGATAGCACCTAAATTGGCTGGGCGCACATGGGCCCGAGGGAGATCGTGAACCTCGGCCTTGCGAGTGAAACCTATGTTGATGAGCGATCAGCTTGAGGGAGACGATTGCGGTCGTTGGTTCAAGTGGGCGCATACATGCAGGGAAGAGACCCTTTTGACTGGAGCGGGTGTGTTCTCCAAGCCACCATCCGTCTTGGAATTCCTCATCCATCTCCTCCAGATGGATGATATCGCCGCGCATCATCTGTAATTCATCTTCGTTGCGCTTCAAGTGATCATCTAAAATGGGGTTAGCGCATGGCTGGGAGGGCGAGCGAGAGGGGTACTTTGCGCTCGCGCTCACGCGCACGCACGCGCAATCGCAATGGCGCAAAGGGTCGCACAGAGGAAGACGTACGGAAGGCGACAAGATAATCCCCCCCGCTGGACATTTTTAGGGGGCGCGGGTGAGGCGCCCGAATGGTCGGCCATTGAATGGTCGGCCATTTCGCGATGATTTTTGTTGGGGGAGAACCTCCGATCGCACGAAAGTGGAAACAAGCCGAGGCGAGGATTATGGGCAGGTCAGTTGTAGGGCATGGGGGCCCAGACAACCCTTTCGAGGGGAGAGAAGACGAGGAGAAATCGGCGGATTGGAATTTGGCGAAGAAGAGTAATGTGAAATTAATAAATTGGAGGGGGAGGGAAGGGGGAGGGAATGCCAGAAAAGGACGAGGAATCTAGCGCAGCAGAAGCAATAGGGCGGGCTTAGGTCATTAGCTCGCGGGGTTCGCAAGGAACTAAGCTGGAACTGTCGGAAGCTTTGTTTGTACCTCAAGAGATCCTAAGTGGACCAAATTCCCGATCTTGAGAGCGTGGCAGACCCGATCTCCCATGCCACAACAGGGGAGAGGTCGAAGGCGCAGATTGGCAGATTGGCAGATTGACAGATTCCAGGAATCTGATGTGGAATGAAGTCCCACAGGGAGGAGATGAGATGGAAGGGAAATGGAAAGGATGAAAGGTCCAAGTGTGGGCTAAATGAGCCGAGATGTCAAGGTCAAGGCCAAGGGAATCAGAATGAAATAAAAATAATAATAATAAAAAAAATATGGAAGTGACGTGTGCGGTCGTCAAGGGTTCTGGACCAGACCATCCACGGTCGGAGTGGAGTGGGGAGAGATGAGATGAGAGAGATGAGATGAGAGAGAAGAAATAAAATAAAATGAAATAGGTGTAATGGATAGAATTGTAGAGTAAATACAGAGGTATATGGGGTAAATAACAACAATAGTAGTACCTAAGTATGCAGGGAAGGGAAGGGAAGGGAAAGGATCTGGCTGAACACGGCCATTTTGAGGCCCGACGTATCATACTACAGCCTAGTACTAGTATAGTATCCTTGTATACTTTACTATACGACAGTGTACACTATACACTGTACACTACTGAATATTATATGATCATTATCAGCAGTATTATTATTATTATCATAATATACTATATAGTATATTATCATAATTATACTACCTAGTAGGTATTATTGTAGTGTACTATTATAGTGTATACATACTCAAGTCTAGCATGTCATACTAGCCTAATGCGGACATGCTGCTTTCGTTTGGGATACCTACTTATACTTGAAAACAGAGCATATTATCATTGTTATTATTATTATTATTATTATTATTATACTTACCTATAATAATTACAACTACTCTGATCACTACAAGTCATACTAGTATTTATCATACATTGAGTCCACTGAGAATCCTCCGTACTCCGTGGAAATGGCCGAGGGCTTACAGTAGACCGGCTTTGTTCTGGAGCAAACAAGCATCCTGGTCTTTCCCTCCGTTTCTACCTGCCTTGCTCGGCTTTTCTTTGCTCTTCTTTCTCGTAAAACATGGACCTCCCATAATTATGACTCCCTCAAGGCGACACTCGCGTGGTGCCGACGATATTGGTCTCTCAAATTCTACCGCGAGCCTCTTTATGGGTGCTGCGCGGAAGAATAAGAATTGGATGCTAGCTCGCTCTTCTCTCCCGACCTGCTCACTGCACGCGATGCGTCCCCCGGCCGCCACTCCTGACATTCCTCTTGCTTTGCCCGTTTCTGCTCCTCTTCCGGATTCAACTTCGGCCCTGGAACTCAACAAACATGCTCATCCCCAACCGCCCGCTATTGATGCTGCAGGCCCGTTGATGTCTCCCGTGACCCCGGGCGCAAATCTGCCCGCTCCCTTGCAGATTGCCTCCCATCAACAACCTCAACTTCAACCCCAATCAGATATCCCACCACCTAGCCTACCCTCCCCCGTCCTAAGCGCGAGCTCTCTTTCCACCACCGATATCCCTCCCCCGCGCCCTCCAGGAGCAACCCTGTCCGACAACAACCAGAAAGAGAATGGGACCTCTAGACCAGACCAACTCGACCTCACACCCCCCACTCAACTCTCCCCCATAGCAACGTCTACCCCGGCAAATGCAAATGAAAATGCAAATTTGCAATCCGATACCCACTCCCCTCGCGGACCTTGGCAGGAGCCTGTGGTGTCCAGTCACCAACCTCATACAGCCCCTGTTCTTACTCAAGTCAATAACACAGGCGATTTAAATTGGCTGGGATGGGAGCCCGAGTTGAAAGTTCTTCTAGAAGTCGGTCAAAGATCAACATCGTCTGTTAACTCTAGGACAATTTTGCTGCAAAAGGCTTTCCTTTACCGGGATCACTTCTACCTCGTATTGCACCAGGTACACTGCCGATGGACTGCCTCAGGATATCAGGATTTCCCAGAATTCCAACCAGCCATGCGACAAGGATTCAGGAAACTAAACGAGCTTCTGAAGGATAACGCACTGATACCACATGATGTCATGTCAAGATTTGTCGCCTTTCCTCGAAAATATGAGGATCTGAAGGACGCGGATTGGTATCGCCTAGACTTCAAGTTGCTCACCATTGTACTCCCACGCCTCTCAAATTACTTCATATACCTTGCGGACCGAATCTCTCAGGGTTTCTATCATCATCGGCGTTATCCACCGCTCATGGTTGAGATGAGGAAGGAATTGCAAGTTACATCGCCTGTCCTATTGGCCGTGATCTTTACATCGACATGTCGACATCTTTATCAGGACACGTTTCTTCCGGTTCTGCATACCTACTTTGAAAAAGACATGGCGATGACTTATGCCGATTCCGAGAAGTTCAGAAATGACTTGATCCAAAAATTTCAACGCATTCCTATGAAGCCGTTTGATACAGCGCCACACTTTCAGCTTGCGCCACTAGCCCGGCCACAAAGTACTGTGCCATGTCAACCGGCCGCTACCGTTACCTCTACCTCTTCACCCGGTCAAATGAACCTTCCCACGATACCTCAAACTTCAAGATCGACAAGTGTGTCTCAGAGTCCTCAGCCGCCGACAGTCACAACTCCGAGGCCTCCGTATACATCGCCATATGTGCCAAACACTATGGGGGGACCCTCGGATGTTGCAGGCACCCTCAGGACATATGCAGCAACCGACACAGATGCAACGACCAGGGCCCATTTACTATTGGAACGGACAGCCCCAACCTCCTTCCGTCCAGCAGCCTGCGAATATGCCAACACTGGCCCACCATGTGCCACAAAATGTCAATCAACTGCATAACGAGCAAAATAGGCAAAACCATCTGTTCCAAATGGTTCAGGTTTCCCAGGCGCACCAGGCGGTTCAGGGTCCGACACAACAGCTTGCCACCTTTCCGAATATGTCCTACCCGCAACAGGGTGTCACATACGCGCCTTTCCACGTGTCTCAGCTACAGGCACAGTCTACTGCACAGAATCAGCATCAACTACAAATTAATTCCAGTAATCTGCAGCAGATGAACTCGATAGGTCACCCTCAGCTACCCTCGTCTATCCAACAGCACCATGGTGGTCCGAGCCCTTCACAGATCCGCCATTCCCAACCAGTCCGCCAACAGAGAGTGGCATCCGTACCGACAATCACTACACCCACGGTGTCCTTCGTCTCACCTCGTTCTGCCCAATCACCACCCAATTCTTTACTTCCAGCTTTGGGATATAGAATGCCGCAGTTGGTGCAGCCGAACCCGATGCGGCTAAGCCTACATCAGGTTGATCTTCTTGACCCGATCAAGAAACTGGTCCATCTGGAGTCTAACGTCATGGATGGGAAAGAATTATATCTCTTTATGAATGGCTTTGCCATGCCACCGAAGTTCATGGGCTTGGAAGAAATTTCCTGCAACTGGACCTTCCAAGTGTCGGCACTGGATATGAAGAGGGCCACACGCCTTGTAGAAGGTAAACCAGGGAAACGACCGACCGTTTGGTATCAAGAGGGCTGCCTATCTCTTCGCTTGCGAGCGATCGCACTGGGAAGCCTTGACAAAGACAAAGTTTATGACACGTGGCCGACTGCAAATACCGTTTGGCCAAGTGTGTTTTACATCCACATCAACGGCACGGAACTCTTTGTTCGCCGCAAAAACCACAATGGCAAGGACTCTCCATTGGATATCACTCCACATATTAAAGAAGGCGAGAATACTCTTTCACTTCACTTTCTCTTGGAGCCTGGCGAATGCAAGAAACACCGTTATGTCTTCGGAATTGAACGCATGGATACCCTAGGGTTCGACCAAGTGCGACAACAAGCGTCCATCTCGCCCGCCAATGATACTCTCCAGATAATCCAAAAACGGCTATGCCCAACCACAGATAATGACGAGTTGGCCGTTGTCTCTGATAGTCTGACTGTCGGCCTGATTGACCCGTTCATGGCGCAGGTCTACAACGTCCCCGCTCGCTCTGTGCACTGCGACCATTTGGAATGTTTCGACCTCGACGTATTCATAAACACACGGAAATCAGAGTCAGGTCTCGGGCCAATGAATGACAATTGGCAGTGCCCGATATGCAAAGCAGATGCTCGACCAATGCACCTTATCATTGACGAATATTTCGTCAATGTCCGCGAAAAGCTCATCTCTACTCACAAACTAGAGGGCACTGTGGCGATCGACGTCCGAGCCGATGGATCATGGGCGACAAAGGTTGCTATCGACGAGCATTCCGACAAACATGCCTCCGGCACACAGTCAGTCAAACGCAAGGCCACTAGTCCCCTGGACCGGGAAGCGTCTCGCGCCAAGCAGGAACCCTCACCACCAATCACGAATACAGAACACACAGTCATTGAAATAGACTAATAATGTGTTTTAATGACTATCTTATGTCGTCGTCTTTTCCTAGCGCTTTCGTCCTGCCTTTGCTAGACATAAATGCCCGGGACACCCCACGTCATCATACTTTTAGCCTTCTTTCTTGTTTTGATTTTCTTGCGTTGAAGCAATAGATACCCCAATTTTCACTATTCAACTTTTTTGACCGCCGTTATTTGTCTTCTTTTCCCCCTTTTTCCTATTTCATACAGGGTTTAAATCCACCAAAGTCAAGATGGCTGCGGGCGTTTGTCCTCTTTGTGCTGTTGTTCGTCCCCAAGGGGATCGACACATTTTACCTCCTGGAAAAGGAAATGAAAAAGCATTTCTTTTGAGCAGCCTTAATCCAGGAATCTATCTATGGACGGAACTTTCTGTTCCAGCTGTTCATCAGATCCAAAATGATAATTTGTTAAAATTCTTTGTTGTTTCTCTCCACGGTCTACACTTCGTACTACACCATTACGATGGGCAAAGCCTTCTACCTGTAGAGGAATGTTCTATTAACCACTGGCAGGTTGCGTAGGCCACTCAAATCTAGCCTTTAAAGTACTCCGTTTAACTGATAGTGGGAAGAGGTAATTGTGTAGGTGACTAGAGTGAGAAAAAAGATCATGCTCATTCAGTGGAGGGGTAATCCCACTTCCGACATTAGATTATACAAAGATTTCACATATAAATATTTAAGATGACTTCTAATCGAGGCATCATTTCCTTACACGCCGAACATGGCTGACAAGGTTTTCAATGACGCCCTCGAAGGCCTCTTTTTCACCGACAAGGCCATCGCGCCGCTTAAGCCAATATTCCAAAACCGCGCTGGCGCGCAGGGTAACCTTCTCCAGCTCGTTGACGTGGGATTTCAATTCCTCATCCGTCAAGCCGCCGAGGGCCGCGTCGGTGGTCGCACAGAGTCGGTGGACGGAGGCGAGTTCGATTTCCGGGGGTGGGGCCGCGCCGCGGCGGGCAGCCTTTTGACGCGAAGGGGCCTGCCCTGTCGTGGCTGTGTTTTCGGCGGTTTGGGAGTCTTCGCCTTCTTTGCGGTTTTGGCTGCGGGCTCGGCCGTTGGGGGTTGTGGTGCCTGAGCCGTCGAGGTCGATGGAGGGGAGGACGAGCTTCTTTTGTTTGGAGGCGGGGAGGATCTCGTCTAGGTCGACGGGAACACCGAGTGATACGAGGAAGAGTCGGCGGATGCGGGATTTGACCCAGTTCTGTGGTTGGAGGGGTGGTGGGGCGACAAGTTGGGACCACAGTGAGAGAGAACGCTCTGTGCTGAAGATTGCGGCGGAGTCGGGGATGGGTTCGACGGGAGGGAGAGAGCTGAGGTCTTGCGACGCAGGGAATAGGTTATCAAGGGTGCCTTCGAGTGCATTGAGAAGTTCGCCTGTGGACGTGTATGCGTCGAAGTCGATAAGTGGAGGCTGTCAGGATAGAAGTTTTTAGCTATTTGCAGTAATGCAATAATTGTCTGGGGCGTTATACTCACGGCAGACGGGAGGGAGTAATGTTGCTGAGATGTAGTGATGTCTCCCGTAGGGGCATCATCAATGCTAGCCTCTTGAAAGCCATCGTCAAAATCTCCAAAGTCATCGTCACCCATTTCATTCTGCTCTTCGACGAAGTCATCGAAGTCATCTGCACCGCATTCTCCCTCATTCACTTCTCCGAAATCATCCTCTTCTGTGCCTTCTGGAGCTTGTTCGTGCTCAGTAAAGGGGCTTTCTGGAGTGATTGTGGCATCCGGAACCGTTTCAATGACATCAGGCGTGGCGTCACTTGGAGACCTTCGGTGGTGAGCTCGCAGCTGTAATGACGATTCCTCATCCATAGGCAAGGAATCGACTCGCGAGACATGTGTTTCGGGGATGGGTTGGCTTGGGGGGGGCTAACATCGGGAGATGCATCTTCCGAGGATGGTGGTGGTTGGACACTTTCGGGGTCGGAGGTGGACTTCACAAAGTCAGGTACCGCATCCGCTTGATGCTGTTCGAATGCTTCTGTCCCAGGGACTTCGCCATAGCTGGGCGAGTCTGGGTCGACCTTCTCGACCATTGTTCGCGGAATTGGCGAATCACCTGGCGTTGGCGGCCGGTCATTCAACCCCGCGGGCGAGGGATCCAGACCTGGTGAGCCCTCTGGAATGACTTCGACCTGATCTGGAACTGCATCTTGTTCTCTTATATTGTATGCTTCTGTACCGGGCACTTCGCCATGCTGGGGGTTGCTGTCGACTCGTTCCACTCGAGTGCGTGGGACAGGGGAAGTGCGAGCAGAATGTGGACTTGATGGTTGTTGTTCGTGACCTTCACTGGCATCTGAAAAATGTTCTTCATCACTATCCGAGACTAGATGATTGTACAGAGCAGAATTAGCACACCAAGTGGGAACTTAATCCAGAGTATTGGAAGCAAACATACTGGTATCCTCAGCTCCAGGGTCGTCCCTCTCTGTTGTCTTGCTGGGGGGGTTCAAGGTGTGTGGGGGGGATCCGGCGATACCTCCGACATGGTTGCAGGTGAACTCAAGTCGGGGACATGGGGAGAGGGAGGGTGGGGAAGAAGGAGAGAAAAGGAAACGGAAATGGGAAGAAATGACGATGTAAATGTAGTGTGTAGCGCGGGTTGTCGACGCCTTCCCTGCAATCGACCGAGTCCAGAACGTTGGTGGCCTCAGGCAGAAATAGTCCCGTGGATGCCTGACAGTTCTGGCGGTCACGAGCGCGTGAACCCAAACTCACTCGCCGGAATTATTATTGCTTCGCTCTTTCTACCCCAAGCTTCCCCCTCACTCTCAGCTGGGTTGAAACTTTCATTGCTTTGAAGAGGCTTCTCTCTTCTTTCAAATACCGCGATCCATCTCGCAGGATAACCTATCCCCTCATCCATCGCCAATCGACTCCCCCTCAGCTTTTTTCCCACCCACCAAGCTTGCCGATTCCCTTGATCGCGACATCGCTTCGCCATGTCTTTTTCCTTCGGCGCTCCGGCATCTAGTGGAGCCTCAAGTGGTGGTCTCTTTGGCACATCCGGCAATGCATTCGGATCCAACCAGAATAGTTCGACTCCCAGCTCCGGCGGTGGTCTTTTCGGAAATGTAGGAGGCGCGGCCGCTTCACCGTTCGGCACAACTCCAGCTGCTGGTGGCTCTGCCGCTGCTAAACCCTCGATGTTTGGGTCCGACAACTCTGGCTCTAAGCCCGCAGGCTCACAGACCTTGTTCGGTACTGCTAATGCTGCTCCTGCTCCATCCAGTGGTGGCAGCACGGCCTTCAGTTTCGGAAACCTTGGAACCAGCAACAGCAACAGCACACCTAGCGGTACCTCACCTCTGTTCGGCAATACTCAGACCCCAAACAAGACGACAGAATCAACAGCGTCTGGACAGCCAGCCACCAGTGGAATGTTTGGAGCAGGCGCCAGCAAGCCGGCTGCGGGTGGTAGCTTGTTCGGAGCCAATGCCTCTGCCACCCCTGCCCCAGCTGGCAATTCTCTGTTTGGTAACACTTCAACCACTCCTGCTGGCCCTCCTCCAGCATCCAAGCCTAGTATGTTCGGTGGAATGAATGCGGCGGCTTCGTCAAATACACCTGCGTCCTCTGGTCTCTCGACCACCCCAGCAGCTACACAGTCGCAACCATCCGGTGGCTTATTTGCGCCCAACACTGGCGCTGCCACCAACAAGCCCATTTTCGGGGGCGCACCTTCTGCTGCACCTAGCGGAGGTCTGTTCGGAAACACCCCAAAGCCCGCCGATTCTACAACCCCATCTACGACTACAGACAGCACGCCCAAGCCAGCCTTTGGAGCTGCTGCTCCGGCCTCTAGCGGCGCACCCTCTATGTTCAAGATGCCTTCTGCTGGGGATGCGGCTTCTAAGCCCGCATTCTCTCTCGGAAGCGCTTCCACCACTCCGGCATCCACCGCAGCTGCTCCTCTGGGCGCTTTGGGGGCACCCGCTGCCTCATCATCTACTCCTCAGAAGTCCCTCTTCCCTACCATTGGAGGCACCACATCCTCAGCGAATCAATCTTCTACGCCGGCGGCAGCTCCGGCTGGAGGCTCGCTCTTCACAGGGCTAGGTGGAGCCAAGACCACCTCCGCTGCTGCTCCTTCCACGACCGCGACCAGTACTGCGCCCGCTTCAACATCTGCCTCTCAACCAGCTGCCCCAAGCTTGTTCGGCAAACCAGCTACATCCACAGCCTCAACTCAACCCGCTGCTGCTGCCGCGGCTACGTCGACCGCAGCTCCGGCCACTGGCGCCGCGCCGAGCTCCGGCACAAACCCTGTTCTTGGCCAGTCGACTACTGGTCCGGCACCTCCGGCTCAATCACGTCTTAAGAATAAGACTATGGATGAGATAATTACCCGTTGGGCTACTGATCTGAACCAGCACCAGAAGAAGTTCCGTGACAACGCCGAGAAGGTCGCAGAATGGGATCGAATGCTGGTTGAGAATGGAACTAAGGTTCAGAAATTGTACGGTAGCACTGTCGATGCAGAGCGAGCTACACAAGAGGTCGAACGTCAACTGGCATCCGTTGAGGGCCAGCAGGATGAGCTGAGCTCATGGCTGGATCGCTATGAACGGGAAGTCGACGAGATGGTTTCCAAACAGGTGGGCTCTGGTGACGCCTTGCAGGGACCGGACCAGGAGCGCGAGAGAACGTACGTGACCAGCAGTCTCCCATTCATTTCGATTAGTATGACTAACCTGATATTATAGTTACAAGCTTGCCGAGAAGCTCTCGGAGCGTTTGGATGAGATGGGCAAAGATCTGACCAGCATGATCGAGGAAGTCAATGGTGCTTCGTCGAGCCTGAGCAAGACCAACCGGGCAGATGAGCCGGTAAGTTTTTGTTCTACCTGGTTGTCTTCTGGGTACAAGAGACGAATGCTAATGTTGGTTTTATTTTCAAAGATTTCCCAGATTGTCCGTATCCTCAACTCGCACTTGTCTCAACTCCAAGTCATTGACCAAGGCACCTCCGAGCTGCAATCCAAGGTGTCTGCTGCTCAGAAGGCCGGACAATCCATTTCTTCTCGGCTTGGGTATGGCTACAACAGCCCTGGAATGGGTGGAGGAAATGCCGCTTCCGACTTCTATCGCTCTTACATGGGCAGACGTTAGAATAGGTTTCGTGCTGGATGTGTAATGATTCAAATTTCGGGGAATAGTGCAATGGGATACCATGGGGAAAACATGGAATCCCTTTAGCGCCCCCTGCGGGAGCTGTTATGCGTTTATCTTGTTCCTCTTTAGCCAAACCCTTAGGACAAGAAGCATCTAGAGGTCGGCTCTACTGTTTTGTGTATACCATCGGTCTGGGCCTGGACGATTTGCCTCTGGTTTACGAGGTTAAATGGCGTAATTCAATGTGTTTTCTCAATTCCTCAACCCGTGTCAATACTTTAAACTTTGGTAGTAAGGGACTAAGTAGAGCCACTCTATGGTATCACCAGCTTTTTTCCAAAAAAAAAATTGCAGCATTCTATAGCTTATAATATTGTCTTGCTTTTTTATTGAGTTCATGGTATCATGTCACTTATGTGGTTTCCACGCCCCAAGGGAAGGGGGCATTCAACGGATCTCGTCGTACCGTCAAAAGTGACTAAGGTCTTTCAAGTTGCTACCTAAGAATATTGGTAACGTAGAAAAATAGACCTTTGTCGATGTCTCGGTCGTTCAAAATCCAAGGTTGAAGTCTAGAAGGACCAATGCCACTTGTTGGGCCGAGATAAAATGAAAATTTGGGTGCTAGAGTCCTCGGAGATTCTGGTCCAGATAAATCGGTTTCTTCTTTTCTTTTTGAAATTCATCATTCTTGGTCATTGAGTCATATGCAATATGCAGTTTGAACATCGTTTAAGAGCCTCTCAGAGCGATTGCGCCTACCAATGACATTTCAAGTTGGCGCTTGGCATTTGGACCGCTGTTCTTGTCACCTGGGGATGGTAGAGCACCAAGCTTGAAGACTTTCTTGATTCTGGCGACATCTGAAATCTCGGATACTGTTTGGTCATCAAAGGGGACGGGAGTTCCTTGAACCGAAGCTTCCAGATGCGCGGCGACGGAGTCACGAGTTATCTCCGGAGATACAGAGACTTTAACGGCCAGTAGGTCTTTGGTGGAGTCTGTAACACCAAACTTCCGAAATGAATCGGCGATCTATTAGAATTAGTCAAATGCTTTTGAAAATTGGAAATCTCATGGTAGAACAAACATTGTTCGCCGGATTCAAGGCGAACACAATCTCCGAGTGCACATTGTGGGACTTGAGTCGATCATTTTTGTAGTCGTTGATAGCTCTAAAGATAGCTGCGGTCGCATGTGCTCTCGAGAAGACCTATTATCCTGAATGAGCGCTCCATTTCCTCATCATAGTACATTTTAAAAGATTTCTCAGCGCACCATGCTTGCATCAATAAAGGCATATTCAAATTCCTTGTTGCCGGAGAGCAACTGCTGTCTTAGGAAGGCGGCATTCTGGACGTCACGATAGAGCGCCACGTACACCGAGAGTGGTTCGGGCAGATGAGGGATATCAAGGGTTTCCAGATGCGACGCCATAGTCAAAAAGAGCGTTTGCGACAATCTAACATGACGTATCTGTATCCTCTTCAAAACCGGCGGCGCCGATATCCCACCTCATCACGTGCCTCCTCGGGGGCAGTTCTGGAAGATTCGGACTTAAGAGGTGCCGGCATCCGCGGTGAGTAATCCGCATCTCATTATTACTTATGCACTTCGTCGGTCCCATATAAACCGCTCCTCTCTCTCCACCTTCAACTACATCATCGTCATCATGGCATTCTACCTTCGGCGCCCGTTCGCCGTATCATCGGCACTTCATCAAGTTCAGAAGCTCTCAAACACCGCTCGCTTCATCCACAACTCTCCATTCAAGCCTGCCCAGGCAACTAAGCCTTTCGGAGCCCAGTCCTCGATCTTCACCAAGTCACGTCAAACCTTCCAAGATGCCTTCCGCCGAACATACATGCAGCCTACCTACAATGCGCAGACCGGAAACCTCTCTCAAAAGCTGATCTATGGTGCCGCCATTGTAGGAGGTACCGTCTTGGCAACCAATTTCATCTTCAACCGTGAGACCCGCGAGGATGGCGGCATGCCCGCCTACGAGCGAAGCTTCCTGAACGAGACTTTCATGCACACTGGCCTTGGTATCGGTATTATCGGCATTGCTGCCCGCGCACTGCACATGAGCGGCTGGTCTTATCGTCTCATGGCTATGAACCCGTGGCTCGTGATGGGTGTCGGCCTGGTCGGCAGCATTGGCTCGATGTACGGAACTCTCTACACCTCCCCGGATAAGTAAGTACCAAAATCCCCCCCCATTTGCAGCTCCAGTGGCCTTTTTCTAACTGCCGCATCAGCTACGTTGTGAAATACGGCTGCTGGACTCTTTTCAACCTGACCCAGGCTGCTCTTCTGTCCCCGCTGATGTTCATGCACCCCGCCATTCTCGCCCGCGCTGGTCTCTACACTGTCGGTATGATGGGCTCCATTGCCTTCGTCGGTGCCACCGCCAAGCAAGAGAAGTACCTGTACCTCGGTGGACCTCTCCTCGCTGGTGTCGTCCTTGTCGCTCTCTCCGGTCTTGCCCCCATGGTTCTCCCCGCCACCGCCGCTCGCACTCTGATGTGGTCCGAGCGTGTCTGGTTGTATGGTGGTCTTGCCGTCTTCGGCGGTTTCACCCTCTATGATGTTCAGAAGATCCTGCACCACGCCCGTCTGGCCGAGCGCGGCTACATGAAACGCGACGTTGTTAACGAGAGTATCAGCCTCGAGCTTGACTTCATCAACATCTTCGTCCGCATGGTGCAGATTCTTGGCATGCGGAGCAACAGCCGCAAATAAGCTTTCACTATGAAGTGTTAGCTGCAACAGCGCCCTTGAGTTCTTTTCTTTTCCCACTTCATAACCCCTGTATTTTAACGATTTCCTACTATTTTTAACCCTGCGGTTTTTTTTTCTTTCTGAAAAGCGTACATAAACATCTAGCTACAACAACCACTCGGAGGAAGCACATCTCCACTCTTTCACATCTGTTCAAAGTAAAATGGTTATAAGATCATCAAATGTGCTTCTTTGGAAATTTTCATTCATTCAAGTAACATTTAGCTCTCCGAGCGGTAGTTTTGTAGCTCGAGTCTTCTCCGCATGTATGAATATCATGGGAAAATCATGGGACAGTTGTCATCAATAGCTCAACCCTTCACACCTTATCGGTTCCTGCAATGTTCTGCAAAAACACCTCCTCACCGTAGATACCCCGGATTCCTGGCGGCTGGTCTTCATGTCTGCTCTCACGTTTACATATTATCTTGCTTCCCTCTTCTTGTCCCGATCTCGCAACGGGTGGCTCAGTTCCCTTTTTTGAGATTTTGGCAGATGTGTCCCCAATCAAAACCTGCAACATCCAGGAGACTCCTATTGATCACGATCCTGTGCCAAGTCTTCGGCGAAATCTTGCGATATGTGAGAAGGACGAGGGCGATTGTTTTCCAACCATGATGGCAATACTTTGGGACACGTAGGAAAAAGATTCGATTCTCGCTGCCGTGGTCAAGGATAGCGTTGCGGAGCGGGTTGTCGACGATATGGCGGACAAAGTCGTGACTTTGTTGACAGTGTCTGATCTTCTTGAACAAATCAACTTTCATGGGGGGGATCTGGCTTGAAGGACAGGAGAAGTGAATTGTCGTTCAATCCTTCCAAGTTTAGGAAGCTGCTGTTGGACTGGTTGAGGAAAAGAACTTCTTTGTGTCGGGTCTCGCGCCCGATTTCTGGATTGCGAACTTTTTCCACCAGACGGAGGTTGCCCTTGAAAATGTCGAAGGTTGCTTCTAGCTCAAGCTCATTGCCGTGAATTTGGCGTGTCTCGCCCGATTTTTCATCGTGTGAGACTAATTCGACGGATTGTAGGTTGGGATCCATTGTGTTAGACAGTGAAGATAGAATAATGAGGTGGCCTGGGGGAAGAGTGAGAAGGAGTACGGGTGGCAGGTGAATCTTGAAATGAAGCTTCCGAATCCGGGGCTCCTAAGCTGCGTTGTGGTTACCTTGCCAGTGCGCAGACAACTCGACCTTTCTTTCCATCTATTAGTACTAGTGCTATAGAGTCGTCTTGTTCCTGTCACATGCGACGATAGTAATCTCAAGGTCAGCACAAACCTTGAAATCCAGAACACTAGTCTAGTACCTTGCCAATTATGCTGTAATATTACTTCTAGTAAAGCAGAGAAATTGATCAAATAGGATATAGTACATGAATTAGCAACTTGAATATTCAATAGCTCTAGTTCTGATATTGACCACTAGCAGCTCACCGCGCTAACCGGAACGGGTAGAGGGAGAGCCCAGAGCTTTTCCCCATCCGCCGCGTTCGACTTCGATGTCAGCCGCCCTTCCACCCCCCATTGAACCACATATCTCAATTCATTCCCAGATCGCAGCGAACCTCCGAACCTTTCTACCACGCCTCCATAATGTCGAACGAAATGGAAGTCGACCCTCCCGTCGCCCAGGACGATGCCCCCGCACAGTCTGAAGGTTTCGAGCCACAAACCCAATCAGGCGCAGTCGCCGTGCGCAGTATCGAGGGATGGATTGTGATCGTGTCAAACATTCACGAAGAAGCTTCCGAGGAGGATATTACCGATCTTTTCGCAGAGTACGGCGAGATCAAGAACTTCAGTCTAAACCTGGATCGACGAACAGGTTATGTCAAGGTAGGTCGCGAACTGCGATCTCTCGCGCCCATATGTTGCAGCAGCCGCGCTTGAATGTTCTCTCGTAGTATTTTGCACTGCTATTATTTACGGAAACATATTTACTAACAAGATTCGTGCTAGGGATACGCTTTGATTGAATACGCAACCCTCCCCGAAGCCGGCGAGGCTATCAAGAACCTCAACGGCTCCAAGCTGCTTGACCAAACCCTTTCAGTTGACTACGCTTTCGTCCGTCCACCTCCAGCCAGCAAGAATAAGGGAGGACAGAAGGGAGGCCGTGGTGGTGGTGGTGGTGGTGGTGGTGGTGCTCGGGGCCGCAGCCGTAGCCCCGGCCGCAGTCGCAGCCCGGATGCCGACCGGAGCTAAATCTCTGAACCGATACGACCGATAAAATGTTCATGGGAATGCATATTATAGCTCCCTTTTTTGCTTGATACCTGGGTACTTTGTTATCATATTTCGCGCCACGGCGCTTGTCCCTCAACCTTTTTGCCTCATGCCCAACGACACTCTGCTGGACGACGCAATACGAGTACCCTTCCTTTAAGCCGGCTCCTGCTTCCTCTATGGCCGCTCCGAAATGTTCTCCTTGCCTTTATATCCCTTGAGAATTTATGGATAAGGCCTCGGAGTTCTGCGAGCCGGCGTCCTGATACATTGTTCCTCTGGTAGGATTCCACGTTGCATGATCAATCACCCCAAGATGCTGATCTATCTTCAGAATAAAAGAAATTCAATACAATTTGGAACGTGGTCTTCGAAGACCACTTGACATAGAAATACCATTTAGCATAATGAAAATTGAAGGTTGCCTGAGCTCATCATGGGGCTCTAAGCTGTTTTCAAAGGGTTTGAGTTTTCGGACCAGTATACCTTAGATATCTGTAGACATAGCTTCGCCACTACATTCGACACTCTGGCAATCTTTCATAGGAGAGATTATTCCATAATCTATCTGGTTGGGTTGTCAATTAATTGACCTGGGAGTCTAGTAAGAGGGCGAGAGTTTCAGAATGGATTGCTGGAGCCATGGTTCCAAATCGAGAGACAAGGCTATTGTAATAAAAATGTACCTAGGTAATAAACATTCGTGTATTAATGATCATACCGTTGAAAACGGAATCTCGTGCTCCATCAGCATGATCTCATGCTGGTGCCAGCGGTCGTTCCATCTACGTACAATGTCTACATATACTAGTCCTAGTTAGTCCACTCTCCACACTACTACAAGTATTTAGCATTGATCCCTTTCAGTCTACTCCGCACATCACGCGACATAAGATGTGGCGCACATTATGTCTCCGAGTGGTTACCTGCGGTACGCCCAGGGCTCTTACCACACCGATCTCATGCCCTGAAACTAGAAATGGGCCAACCAAAGGGCATGGTTATGGACTTGCTTCTCCAAGGACGAGTGGGCCAATGACTAAGCTGTGGACCCCAACTCTGGGAAGGCTCCCCCGCATCCGAGGCTGAGCACCACCCAGAACCTTTCATTCTTGCCATTGATCGCAACTGGGTGAGAAGCAGTGGTGTGCTTCTATTCTTATGAAGGAGACTGGTGCTCTGCTATCCGGATAGTTGATCCCCCGGGAAGGATGGCTTCTCGCTCCTTATACCAGTCCCCTTCGGGGCCCTCCTACTCTTTATATACGATCCTGTGGATATTCTTCCTTTCTCTTTCAGCCGTGGCCAATGCGCTGGCGTATCCGCCCCAGAAACTGCTTGCAGAGACACGACCGGTTGACGACACCCTCTCTGTCTCCCTCGATGATCTCTCAAAGGATGCCAGTCTCAAGGACAGCAATGCGACTCCCGCCGAGACGCTGCAAGATCTACTCGGCGCGCTACGTGGTATGCAAGACCACTACTTCGTGATGTGGATGGGAACTTGGCCTAGCAGCATTGACTGGACTGCTGCGGTCCTGGGAACCCACGTTGTCGCCACTTTGTCATCTTATACCTCCTCCAAGCTCGATGTCGTCGACCCCACAGAGTCGCACCTGTCAGTCGCGCTTGCAGTTGAGAACACTGTCAATCAATTCTTTACTCAGATGAACACCTTTTATTTTGGAGAGAATGCTTTCAGTCTGAGAAACCAAGCCTACGATGATATGCTTTGGGTCGTACTAGACTGGCTGGAAAATATCAAGTTCCAGGACTTGCACACAAATCTTCACTTTCCTTCGTCCGACCCAGCTTCAGAGGGATCATGGTATGGGACTCAATTCCGGCAATCAGCTGCACATCGGGCACGAATTTTCTATGACCTGGCCTCGGCCGGCTGGGACAAGACCCTCTGTGGCGGGGGGATGATCTGGAACCCGGTTTTGATCCCCTATAAAAACGCCATTACGAACGAGCTTTATATATCGGCAAGCATCGCCATGTATCTATATTTCCCGGGGGATCCCATTGACTCTCCATTCATTACCAATGTACAGGCCAATGGAACATATCCACACAACCCTGCCCACCTCAAGTCAGCAGTCGATGCTTACGCTTGGCTCAAGAACTCCAACATGACTGGAGCCGGCGGGCTATATGCAGACGGGTTTCACATCAGCGGCTGGCAAAGCGCATCCGATCCAGGAACGGGCAAATGCGACGAGCTCAACAAAATGGTATACACTTACAACCAAGGAGTCGTCCTCAGCGGGCTGAGAGGACTCTGGATCGGAACAGGTGATCAGGGCTACCTTCGCGACGGTCATGAGCTTGTCCACAAGGTTCTTCGTGCCACGGGTTGGCCGCAAACATCTTCGAAGAAATGGGTTGGTCTTGGACGCGGCGGTGTGTTGGAAGAAGCCTGCGACTCATACTCTAGCTGCTCGCAAAACGGACAAACCTTCAAGGGAATTTTCTTCCACCACCTGGCAGAGTTCTGTCGACCACTCCGCCCACAAGAAGAGCGCTTCCTGGCGGCTGAGAAACGCCAGCCGATTGCGGACGAGGGCTGGGAGGATGTCTACACCCGTCATCTCAAACGTTGCCGTACTTATGGGCCCTGGATCGAACACAATGCTCGCGCTGCGTTGATCACCCGTGACGACGATGGGAAATTCGGTACTTGGTGGGGAATTGAATTCCAGCAACCACCCTCCGCTATCTCTGCGGACACTGTAAATAGTAGTACTTTGCCAGCTGGGGCAGTGGACTACCGCAATGTTGAGTTTGAAACTGATGCTCATGCATTTGATGGCGTGCCGCGGGACTTCAACGATCGTGGACGGGGTCGCACAGTTGAGACACAGTCTGGTGGAGTTGCAGTGCTGAGGGCTCTGTACCAGTGGCAGACCTCTGATGTCCTTACATGAACCACACCGGCATGAATCTTGGTTTGGTGTTTGGGAATTGGGAATTATTTTTATCATTATTATCATTGGTTTTTGGAGTTAGGCTGTCAAATGCACTGCGGTCCTTGGGACTGATTATCTTTCTGCAATTGACTATGTAGTATGCATAGTCCTTCCCTTTGCCGAGGTAAAGTCGGATTGTGGGGATTAAGCATCCATTCTACTCCGTACTATGGAGTACAGCATGGGCTTCCTTCTAATCCAATGTGTAGCCTTGACGGCTTAGTATTGTGGAGCCAATTGGCAGTTTGGATGTCGGTTCATTTAGATAGATATCCCTGGTGATTTGCATAGTCAACTTACCATGGAACCCTGATCATCAACAAACTGCACCTTAGTATCGTACCAAATAAACCGATGCTCAAATGATTGACCCTCCCCTTTCTCATCCGCCCGTGCACACGCAATAGGAGACCTCGGCTCTACATAATCCACCCAGTCCGCGATAGTCCTCCGGATCGTCTTGCGGAGCCAATCTCTCCGCAAAGACAGCCAGCACGAAACAAGAAATGGATGGATCTGAAAACCGGATTGCTAAATCGATAGATCGGCACAGGTGGATCGAAATTGATCTGCAGGTATTCAGGTTCATCTACTGTAGAGAAGGGAAATTGGTATGTATGACGTTGAGCGAGGAGCCTCTTGATCGGGACTTGGAGATGATGACTGCAGCCCCTTTGTACTTGGGTTGGGTGTTTCTACATGCATATTCTGTTAGTTGTCAGACTGACTAGCTAACTGTTCGGTTAAGTCAGATCAAGTGACACAGTAGACTCCAGGATCTGTCAGATTGGCGTGTTATCCTTTTTGGACATTGCTACTAGTACTAGTAGGTAGGAGACAAGGCGGGATGGGATGCAGGTTGCCAGTGTACAGTAGTACTATAGGCAATCTATCAAGGTTTGGGTAAGCTATTTACCTAAGTACCTACTAGTAGTACTCCGTATTGTCCATGCTTTTTATCTGTATTAGGCGTTCTTTACTAAATTTGAATCTTATCACAAGCAGATACCAGGCTCTCACAATACTTTGACAATGCAACCGAAAAAGAAAGAACAAAAAAACAAGGCAAGTTCCACAACAACACGATCATTGCCTCTCGTGTTGGGCGGCATCCCTAGGTGCTATGGTGGGGGGGACCTGCAGCTGTGACCGCTGGGACCTCCCACCTTGGAAGAGACTAAGGGACTAAGATGCTTTTGACAAGCACGACATGCTCCACTTCCAGGTTGTGTGGCCAAGAAAAACTCCGGCAACTCGAACCGATTCGATAGTATCCGCACTTCGTGTACAAGGCACATAGTCTCGGACAATGTCCTATGGTTGTGGCGAGGATACTCCGAAAGAGAAGTTTCTGTTCTTTAGCACCCGCCCTAAGGGACGTCCCACCAAAGGCCAAAGCTGAGAGGAAACTTTACTATCGATACGCTCCAAATATGGGTCCTTTGATTGGTCCTCTAATCTGGAAATATCCCGCGGCAGTGAGCAAGAAAAAAAAAAGCGACTAATCGAACAGAGCGGACACGAAACCCACTCACACTAACCCAAAGCTCGCGCGCCATCCGCAGCTTAGCGTTAGAAACTTCCTGTTAGCTTGGCCCCCCTCTCTGCCCCTCCTTGTGAGATGAAACATGTTCGTACGGGGGAGAGGCCTAAATGAATGGGACGGTGGAGGGGTTATGTAGGTAAATCAGTCAAAAGGCGTGTAGATCAGCATCCCCTCATTGAGTCATCATTGAGGGTACTCCGTACAATCATATCTCAAGAAAAAAAAAGAAAAAAAGGTAAACCAAAAATTATGTATGTATCCGCAGATGAAAGAAAAAAAGAAGGAAAAAAGAACATCCCGAGGATCCGCCTCTCTACCGAATTACGTGGCGTGTCTCAATACTGTAGACTAACGGCCGCGAGGCAATCGCCTCACTGTGTCTCACTTGCCCCGGATCTCACCACCTCGAGGCTCTCCTCCTCCATTCTACGGTGGGAATCCACACTTCTGTATACCATCCGGTGGCTACATTTCGTGAGCTAAACGTACAGCTCGCGTCGGTGGACCGACGCAGTCACACGGCCAAGGTCTGAGCGTCCCATCTGACTCTACAGTACGGAGTACGGGGATCCAGGAACGAATACCACTGGTTCTACGCCCTCTGCACAGTGGAGGGGTCGAGGACAGTACATGCGGCGGTGGTGTACCTGCCATACTGCGCGATGGCTCCAAGTCGAAGCAAGGTCTTCACCGGTGGAGGTTGGGAATTATCCGATCGGTCACATTGGGAACCCACCAGCTTGGCTTAGCACTAGTCGCAGATTACATCCAGAGATGAGCTAGGAGGACTCGAAAGGGTCGGGTTTCAGCACCATCTCAGTTGCCGTCATTCAGGGATGTTCCATGCACTGTGCTGGCGTTTCAACGTGCAGCGGAATGCGATCCCCGGAAAACTCGTGCGCAAGTGATGGAGTGGCGCCGGCAGTTCTGATTCGAAAGTCTTCTCCGACAAGCCACTGCCGGGACGTGGAACCCATGGGTGACAATGTCGGGTCCGGGTACCTGGGAGGGTGTCCCAGGATTGACTTGATGCCCAACTGGCGAGCGTAGCGCGGACACAGTGCAGCAGGACTACATAGCAGCAGTTGCACTACAGGGTACTCTGGGGCCGTACATGCTGACACCACTATTGATTCCTATCACAGCTATCGCAGCATAATAAGCTATTGAAGAGTTTTAGTGCCGCTTGTGGGCACGATTGCCTCAAGCGAGGCTATACATACAAACCATAACGGATGCATTCAGCCGTTGCATTCCTGAGAGATCGACATGATGATGACCCTGCCTGGTTTCACCTCCTTTTAGTAGGTTCCCATCTGTCAAATAGCAGCCAAACTGTCGAATCCACGGGAATGGATCGTCTGTTGAAGCGGTCCATGACCTCGGATTGGTTCAAAGGACGGGTTGAGGTCCTTGGTGGGTAATAAAGCTCACAACTGCGAGAACAAAGGGATTTAAGCTGATGACATCATGGTATACTCCCTACATATGTACTGTACGTACGAAGTATGAACTACTACATCCCATCATTCAGCTGGCATTATCTAAATATTCAGACAACTTTGTAGGACTCTCCTTCGCTTGGAGTTCTATGTACACAATCTAGTGTCTGCTTGGAACCGAGGGAATGTGATTCGGAAATGAACTCCATGGCTCCACGGGGCGGGCGTAAGGATCGTCCTTCTAAAGATTTGGATCCAACAAAATTCGATTTAGTGCTCCATTTTCTGCATGGGAGATTAAGAAGGTTCCTCTTTCTCAAGATTTTGTGTAGTACACTGTATCCCGCGGAGGCTTCCGACCCAAGAAATCCAACACTGTCAACGCATCCACCGTGCCGTGTTCATCCCTTGCCCTTGTTTGCCACACCAGGTCATGGCGAATGGAGGTACCCTGACCAGGGGGGGGGGGGGACTACTGTATCAAGACCCGTGTGAATGATCGGAGCCAGTAATATGGCGTCATATCCACCAGTTGCGGCTTGATCGACATTGCATGGTGCCCCCCCCCCCTGAGAGGCGGAGGACGAGGCGTTTTCCCCATACCGCCATGAAGAAGCGCCTATAAAGATGCGGTCAAAAGTACTGTGATCAGTTTTAGTGCAAGTATCGAGGCGATCCATGGAGGTATACTGAGTATTGACTCTGGAGAGTATGTATGTAAGCTCCAGTTATCTACGTGGACGAAGGAAAGTGTGCGCCAGGAGGTATACAGTAATGAACGATGAGGTCATCTGACGATAGGGGAGGCGACAAATTAGGATTACCTTTCCCACCATTAAGATGAGGATGAGTATGTAAGTAAAGGGGAAAAATAAATTTAAAATAAAAAAGAAAAGAAAAAGGTAATGAAATTAATACGTGTTCTTCAAGGTTTGGTACAAATTCCCACCCAAAATTTGCCCTGGAGATGGAGGTGGACTCCTGTTGGTTAGGAGAGGCTCCTGTTTGGCGGAGGCGAGTGGATCCGCACCTCCGCTCCTATGGGCCAGTGAAAATTCGCGATGGCCCTAAATCAGGACTAAACCGGGTCTAGGTAGAAGTTCCGGTGGTGGTGGACGGAGTAACCAGTACCCAGTACTTTGTTCGGTTCCTCGACGGTGGGGGGAAGCGGTGTACCGGATACTTGGAGAGGAAAGGGGACTGACTCTCTGTAACCTGAATTCGGTTGCCCATTTTTTATGCTTTCATGGTTCCCAATGGTTCCTGGCTATTACTTACCCTAGGGTACACATAGATACTCTGTTAGTCACTATCATATACTATGTCTGGTTCAAATTCTCATATACTCAGAATACACGAACAGGCTCGGTCAGGTACCTCTATACGGCTAAAGGGGTTCAGTACTCCGTAACTGGGTATGTGGCTGCCACGCGCCTACGGTTTCTTTTCGGACGATCCCTCTGGTCCCAAGGGACGCCCTGCTCCACCGGCCGAAAAGGTGCAAAGATAGTCCTAGTTCGGTATGAGGAAGGTACGATGAAGGTACGGTGTATTGCGGGTACACTGAGATACTAGGGGGTACTTCCAACTACCTGTTGATACCGGGTATTTTACTATGCTAATCTCGTATCTTTATGTATCTAATTGTATCATATGGGTTACCTAATCTTCCCTGCTCCTGTACCGAGGGTACCGAGTGTTACCAACAATACCTCCATACTGGGATTGTACCACCACCCCAAAACCCACCACTGGCCGTAACGCCGATACCCTCCTTCCTCCCTTTGAACTCATCTAAGAGCTTCTTTCCTTTCTCAACGCCCTCGACCGATTTCCAACTTTTCATCTCGCGCCCTTTCGACCTTTCGACACCTTTCTCTTCTCCCTCTCACCCCCCCCCCATCTCGATCTCGACCTGTCCTCCCTAACTATTTTCGGCCGTTGTTCCTTTTACCCGCATCACCTCCGATTCTTCACCCGTTATCACCCACTCTTCAAATCCCCCACCGACCCCGGTAGCTACCTCAAGCGTAACACAGATTTCTCGTCTGGGGTACATCGCTAGGGGTAGACCGTGGTCGTTCACCGTTCGTTCCGACCTACGATTCTCAAATCAAGACCCCCCCCGAACGCCGAAAGCAGCGTGTTGCACACTTTCCCCCCCCCCAAAAAAAATCCACCTCATCCTAAATCGCCACGCTGGACCTCGCAAATTCCTCTCTGTTCGACTGCGTTTGCTGTGAAAAACCTCCCCTATGTCTGATACGGAAATGAATGAAGCCTCACCTGTGCCCACCTTGCCGCAACCTAACGACGGTGGCCGCATGCATATGTCATCCCTGTCATCTTCTTCGTCTATATCCGACGCCGAGACTGAACGTCGAGGCCGATCTGAACGACCAAGAATGGCGAGCCGCAAACCCAGCGCATCTATTTTAGTCCCTCGGGACCACCCTGAAATCGAGATTGAGGAAGAGGAATTCCCTCCCGATGACGCCCGTGCCATGAGTCCCCGCCGGAACTCTGCTGATCTAGAACGATTGGGCAAAGAGGCTCGCCAGACCCTTCAAGAGTGAGTATTCCCTTATTTTCTCGAAACTTGTTGAGAATTCCTTCATGCTCCCCTTCTTTTCTGCCCTTTGGGCTTCCGAAAGGAGAGGCGTCTTCAAAATCACCCACTAACATGCAATGGAAATCCTTAGGCAAGCCAAGGCTCTCCAATCGTCCCTTCAAGCCATCGCAGAGCGCATTGATGTCGTCAAATCAGACCACGACAAGCTGGAGAATGAGAACAAAATCCTGCAAGATTACATAGGTGGCCTCACACGCAACATGACCAAGACCGAAATGAGCCGCAGTACGAAAGCACGCAAGGCGCAGAAGTAACTACATGGCCGATTGAATCAGAAGCGTCCTAGGACGGTGGGACACCTCCCACCGTATCTGTGACCAAGATGGAAATCTAAGTTTCCCACACGGAGCTTTCTGAGAGCCGCCATGAAATCGAGATTCATACCGATTCTCGATTATTTTTAACCTTCTAACGACAACATACTTCATCACGCGCCTATTCTTCTCGCCCGAGGGCCCGATCACCACTTTCCAAGTGTCGAATTACGATTACGAGCATGCACAGCACACACCTTGGTTGACACAGTTGCATACAAAATAACGCGTTGTGACCCCTTTGGAGCGTTGGAAGGCCTCTTGCATTTACGGGGCCTGAAATTGTTTCCCAGGGGAATATGCAGCCGCTTGTTGTCACATTGTCGCCATACCTCGTTTCCCCCTAATCCTCTGGCCACCCGGCTCACTTCGAGTGGCTACCCATGCACCCTCTTTCCCTCACAGTCCACGCCACAACTCGTCACAGGGCCCCACCGCTCATTCAGCACCGGGATCGACCGTTGAACCAGTGATGGTCACGACCATGCAGCGCTTATTTACTCAAGGGGACCAATGGATGCTCAGTGACATCATCGGATATTTGATCCACGCCCAGTGGTCCGCCACTTTGGGTCTTGGCATCCTCGAACCACTCATGATCATCATTCATCCTCAGCCACTCACCAGTGTCACACCATGCTGTGTCATGGCAAGCGGAGCTGACTGACCTCCCTCCATCATTGCCGATATCATCGGGCCTCTTCATCTTCTCTTTCTTTACACGTCTCCTCATTTGGCGTTTTTTCATCACATGTTTTTTTTTCTACTCGGCGGCCTCTTTGCGGACTCATCTTCACCACTGTATTTTTTTTATCGGATGCATAGCACCTCGGGCGTTTCGGGGACTGGGACCTAGACTCGATTTGATTGAATGAGCTTTACCGGAGCCGCAACTTGAAATGTTTTCGTCGTCATAAGGCATTGCATATGGTCATGGTCATGTCAACCGCAGGACGGCGCGGAAAGTGGAAAGCATCTACGGGGTCATTTACGGAGCAGTCCATTGTTCATTATTCCTTTCCATTCTTCTCTCTTCATTTCTATTATCTTCCTTTTTTTAACACCTGGGACGATGAAAGATGGCAAATTCTGTACATCCGGCCTTTTGTCTTCACTTCTTTTCTTTTCGATTGTGGACTGGCTTCTCGCGAAAATGAACCCCCATTTTTCAACTTACGGGAGATCTCTATTTTTATCGCCGTATCTTACTATTTCTTCTCTCTGTCACAGCTTTGTTCTGCCTACTTGCTTCTCACCGGCCTTTGTCATCCCTAGGTTTTCCGAGCATGTCTTTAGTCCCCCACTCTTGTCTATTTTTTTTTCTATTATTTACCCTGCTTGCATGGCGGGGATAATGATAGTTCAATTATTGCAATTCAAACATTCCACCCAAATTTCGCACCATAGAATTAAATACGCACAACTAGATGTATTCAAAACAGTATTCTACTTTTTAGCTCGAGTCATGACGTTCAAAGTGGCTGGTGGAGAGGCATGGAGATCTGAGACATTCCCCATCTGATCTACGAGAACGACGTATGCTGTGGGGCCCTTGAAACAGTGCAGCTGAAGGAATCATGCACAGCCGGCATGCCCTAGTAGTAAATCATTATCTAGCGGGGAGCATCACTCAAACATAGCCATCTAGTATCCAGCGACCTTGTACGCTATACTAGCGTGAGTCGGAATTTCTCCCCCTCCCAGTGACGCAAGGCTCTTTCGGCGGATTCAAGCCGCGAATGGAGGAGGTGGGGGCAATTTCTATATTTGGATTATTAACAGCACAGAAACTCCTGGTTTAGCTACACGAGAGTCGTGGTGCTAAAACCGGAGACCGGTAGATTCTCGGATGCTACCCAAATAAGCAATTGCTGGAACGACATGCCTCTCTAACCGAGACGGTGAGCTCACATGAACGCCATGCGTCCCCATTTAAAACAGAGCGGGCCATATCAAAATATCGGTCTCGGTAAGCTTATCCGTCGAGAATGGTGCCGGTGAAATATTGGTGAGGAAAGACAGTGCGGCTTTTATTGGATTGCCTCTTTCTTTTCACGATACGACCCGAAGCTTCCGGTTCTTCATCACGGGGTTTTAGCCCCTTCACGTGGCCTACGGGGGGTTTGTGGGAATTGGCAGGTTTGGCATTGTGACTAGCGGGTGTGATGATGACAGAAGGTTACACAAAGTTCTAATTGAGCGCGCAAAATTGAAGATTTGAAGACTTTAAACCTACGTCCAAGCGGCTTCGTCGGGAATGGTGCCTAACAGCTTGTGATTGATTCGAGTGGCATGGAACTAGGCCATAGTAGTGATTTTATATACGAATCGTTGATACAGAGAGAGCAACGTGGTATGGGTAGTACTAATATGTTCGGAGTTGGGGTCTCATTAGAACTATCCATGGGGTAGACAATGACACCAACTTCCATGGTACAATTTCATATTGCACTTAATCATCAACACCTTCTTACTTGAACAGCTTCAAATACCTCATAGATAACCTTGGAATATGGCAATTTTCGACGTTTCAGTATCTAATATTTTGACAAGTCTTGCTTTGACAGTGCTGTCCAGGTGTTTCTATCTTTTTAGTACGATGATCTTTGAAAAGCACATGGCGTGCCAGATTTGAAGATCTAGAGAGAATATGAAGGACGAGATGGTCCTGGTATACTGCCGAAGCATTTCCTGTACCACTGCTCCTCCCTTGGCTAGAATTAGAAGCTAAACTCATTGAAAAAGGCCAGGGGGCAAAACTCTGTGGCTTGACTATCTCCGGTAATATCATGACTGCCTCATCGTTTCAAACATGAGGAAATCTCGAAGTGTGTGAAATTTGTGGCTCTTGGAGGATGTAACTGAATAGAGCACCAGTCAGATTCATGAATACAGCATAAGAGCAAATACAAAATTCTTTCACTTGAATATTTAGTTCCATTAATACTAATCTCTGGTAGCAAGTGGTGAGAAGCTCGGGGTTTCTATGTAAGAAAACAGGAGGGCAGAGAAGTGATGGTATGTGTCCATACACTCACTAAATGCACATAAGCAGACTTAAAAGACAAAAATAACCCACTCATAACCATCTAAGGTTATGATGGAGTTGCGCCCCAGAGTTCCAGGTATTCCAGGACAATCAGGGCAAAATACAAATCACAACAAATAGTGAGTTCTAGGGTATGATATCCTATCATGGTTTCTGGTATGTATAGAAGCGGCGTGAAGGAACCAATCTGAGTTGATAAAATCTGCCTAGAAAGGGATACATGTTGGGCAGATGGAGCAAGTTCTGTCTTGTGAGCCCTTTTCTAAGGCCAAATCCTACCATGATCACTATCTGGCGGGGATGGTAGGGGGCGGGTCCGGGGTGGGATTAGGTTGACCACCCCCCCTGAGGTCCATTACAGACTGCTCCACCCGTGTCACTCATCTTGGGCGAAGTTGAAGCAAAACTAATCTGGATGAGGTTTAATTAACATAAACTCCCGCAAAATTATGTGTGGTATTTGCCCTACCTCAATCGATTAAATAAATCAAATAGCGATAGGCGTGGAGTTGGCTTAACGATTCCAGAAAACCAGAAGCCGTATTGCCTGAATTATCCAAAGCGATTCCTTGTGCGCTATACCCGCTGTCTAAAATAGAGACTGTGCTAAGTTAGAATCCATTCAAGTGTTACGTGAGAATAAGGATAAGCATAAGCATCGAGAAATCTTCATACACGTGGATCTCAGGAAGACTGTCGATTTCGTTCAATAGGAAAGAACGAAATGTTTTCTTGAAAATTTGTTCCGAACGCTTCAATCCAGAACATGCGCGACCATTTTATACCATAATATACCTTACTGGTCGATATTTGGTCCATAATTTATGGAGACATGGATTTTCAGCCTCAAACTATCCCACCCCGCCGATCTGCATGGAGCTGATTTGGAGCCGCCGAAGTGAATTCACACCTGTCATTGGCGCCATGAACACCTGAGTATGCGCCAATGAAGGACCTATTCCACGGCCGGGAGCGCAATATACTCAGGGGATTCGTTTGAACTGGCCTAGTAATGTTGGCTCCAGCCCCTGTAGTTGACACCGCCCCGCATGCGAGCCACGCAATTTTCAGAACTACTTGGTGAAGCGCCTAATCAGTGGTCGTAAGCTTTCTGTGAGAAATCAGGCCCGGATTGTCTGTATGTTATCATGTACTGCAAGCCCAGATTGAAGCGCCAAATCAGTGGATGTAAGATTTCCGTGAGAAATCAGGCTCGGGATGTCTGTATGCTATTATCTGCTGCAAGCCCAGCTATTGATGCCGCTCGCGTTGCCCCAGGCGCAAGAGCCAGTAATGCAGTTGATTTTAGGCAGCAAGGCGGAGCAGAATACTCCTGCAGCCTGCCGACAGATGACTGTGAGGCTGTACATACTATACTGCTGCTAGCCGTTCATATGCCCAACAAATACCATGTCTCTACCCCGTCTCCTTAAAGGAGCCTCAGAATGCATACAAAGAGATGATTGGCAAGTGAATTGTTGATGTGAACTCATACTCCCCTTCCAATACAGTCTCATACCCAACCTAGCCCCAGATTTCTGTCGGAAAATGACCGTCTCAACATCCAAAGAGTCTACTTCTCAGTCCTGTTCGCCCAAAGAGAGCCCTTCCCAGAGCGACCTTTATTAGAGACTATGGCAATAGCTTGGATATCGGGCTTTTGTGAATGGTCTTCTTCCGATGATGACCTTTTTGTTCTGCGTCGTTTCAAGGTCCTTAACACCAGAGTTCTACTAAGAATGTAGGACTCAATAGTTCAACTGGAGGATGAACTGACTGCCCTCGATGTTGAAAGTTCTCAATTGGGCTGTCAACCTGTGAATAATGGGTCATCCAGGCATGATATAATTGAAAGGAGAAAGGAAATACTTAGTCAGGAACAAGCTGAGCTCAAAGAATATAGTCAGTTCTTCTCTCCTTTCTTCTCTATTTGAAGGGGGTTTTCCCGTTCAAGTCCTCTCTCGCTCCCGTGGGCTCTCATTTTGACCCTCAGAAACATTTCACGATATTGAATAATCATGAAGAAATAGATGAGTATGTGACCAAATGCTCAGAGCTAAGATCACGCCAGCCAGCCGGGGAGCATGAAATCTCAAATGTGAAAATTTGGCTTCAATGGCGCTTTTCAGATGCCATATTTCCAGCAGAAAGCAAGTATATTACAAAGCTAGACGACTTGATACGGGTTGTGCCAGGAATGAGATCTCCTCTAGTCAAGAAGATGGAAAAACATTCCAGCATAGCGCATAGTATCTTCTCCAAGAAGCAAGTTGTGAGTGTCTTCCGGCCCTGGAGCCAGGCTTGCACGTGGTTTTATGTCCCAAAAAGCAACTCGCTCGGAGATAAAGTGTCTGGACTAATTTCTAAAGGAAGGAGAATTAACTGGTTATGACCCATAGTCCACTTCCTACTACAGGGAGGATCTCATGGAATCCTGAGCTCGAGGAGGATTCATCCTCTTTGGCTTAGTTATGCTGGTTGAGCCATCATGGTGGTTTACTTCATTGAGGATAAAACGAAACAGCTTGAAGTTATTACTGGCTTTATAGTGATTTTCCTCGCGCTTGTTCCAACGCCTTTCGCCAGCAACTCCATTGGAAACATTGGTCGCCACTGCTGCGTAAGTGAATTCGGTTTCAAAGTGATTTTCCTACGTA